TGATATTGAATTGCTAAGCTTTTATATTTGCCACTGCATAATGGGGCAAAACATAATGATCTTCGTTTATTATACACTTTTTTTATTCTCACAATAATAATATCAATAATATTCTGAGTTGATCCTTTTAATTCTCTGATTTAAAAATTTTACTCGTTCAATTTTACATTTTACGTATATTAGTATATAAAGAACGCGTCTTACGAAGGAGGAAATACGTCCTAAAAATCGGCTCGGCTTTCAAGGTCCAACTAAATAATTCACTTCCTTCCTTTCGCAATGCATTTTCTTTTTGCACGTCTTTTCCATCGCTCCCAACGGTTCGCCGTCTTCGCGTTTTTTTTGCTGCCAAATGGAATGCATAAAATGACATGCTTGGCGGCATACATAGAGCGACATTATCGCACCTTTTTTACATCTAAATTTTGCATAATTTTTTACAGGCACGTATGGAGAAAAAATGGCAGATTTTTGAATATTTAGACGATGACATCGCGTGATTCTAAGGACGAGCTTTTTCGAGCTAAAAAAAGCGACAAATAAGTGCTTTATGTCATGTGCTGCTTTTATAAACACACGCGTGTGCGCATGCAAAAGTATCTATTAATACGAACATTTTTCTTTCGTGCTTGATTGAATCGTTGCTTATGAATTTTCTGTGTACAAGAACGAAAGTGAACGTGTCGTTTGTTAACGAAGCTTATCGCACGAAGTGCTTCAAAAAAAGTTTTTTTTCGTTACACGATAATTGAAAAGTTTTACACGCGCACACGTCGCCAACTATATTAATCACTTATCGGAGTTGCATCAACATTTAGCGATGAGGACTCGTTGAAATTCAAACTCGTAAAATTTATATGTACGAGAGGCACTTGACCGATCGTATATAGCCTAGACGTCCGCGAGGGAGAGTGCATTATGATGACAAGCGCACTCGTATAGCGTGGATTAGAGCCCTGCTGTGGCGTTAATCAACCAAAGTGCAGCTTAATAACAGGTCCATTATTCCTCCTTATCTAATTAGGAGTATACCTCTGTGCGGCCGTTGCGTATCATGACTTATGAGCTTATACTTATCAGCGCCCATTGGCCCGAGTGAGATTCGGCGGAGAATAGTCCTGCAGGATGAATCAATTGATTCTCCCGTTACGTGCAAGGAGTAAAGAATTTTTTGAACGCAACAGAAAAAAACACTTCCTTTTTTCAGTTTATTGAGCACCTTTATTTTTTCGCGACGGAGAGGCTGGGGATTAAAATTTTTTCTTCTTCAAATTTTTCTAGCAATCAGCTATCGTAACGACGTTAACCTGAAGCTTGTATGCATAGACCCGTGTAAGTGTGTTAGAGGACCAAAGGGTTTATATACGTAGATATCGGACTGTGAGCTGGAGGCTTTGTTTGCCTCAACAATTGCGATGGTTCCACTAGCTGCTACGAAGCAGTCCTTGCGAGTAATCGGATAGCAGCAGCAGCAGTCGAGAAGCTGAGCAGCAGCGGCAACGTATATAGGAGCAAACAATATGAAAGCTCTCGGGCGTGATAATGAAATTTTTTTACAGCTGATATAGAGAGAGAAAGAAGGGGGATAGCTAGCAGCAGACGGATATACACCAGGGTGTCCCTTATTTTTCTTAAGCTGCACAGAATCTCGCTACCCCTGCTTTGAAAAGTTTGTTTGGAACTAAAAATGCATAAAACCGTTGCTAATACTACTTTTTATAATAATATTCGTGAACGTTCAACACGCATTCTTTAATTAATTTTAAGACTTTTTTGTTCTTTGCATTTTTTTCGCTGAAGTCGTTACTTTTCTATATACGAAAAGTCGCAAAGATTAAAAATTTAATGATAAAATATGATGAATTATAATTCTGGAAAATGTTCAACTTTCAAAAACCACATTTTCGGGTCCAAACAGACTTTAACAAAACTTACGTTTGTAGAGCTTGCGCTGGTACAACTTGCGCTAGCGTAGAGCTTGATGCTATTTCAGTTTTCTTTAGTAAATCTGTGCCGCAGTAAAGTAGAGATACAAAATCGCAAAGATTACACGTGTGGTTTTATTACGCGTGAATTTTGCATGAAATATTTTTCATACTCGGAAGAAACGAATTCAGGGTAAAAATGCAAATAATATTATTTTTTGAGGCCTTGTAGACTAGACATACTTATATTCATTATTTAATTAAAAGAAACACAACTTCACTCGGCATTCTGAAAACGAGGTTGCCACTAGTGGTGTTACTTATTTCATGCGCTATTTTTCGGCCTGCCACATTTTACGCGGTACAGTCCATATAATACGCGTGCACCCGATGAAGCTTTTAATAAATTTGATAGCGTGACGGTGAAAATGAAAAATACTCGAAGCGTATTGGTAAAATCTAATTGAAATGATCGATGGCAGTCTGTCCAAGATACTTATATTTTCTCAAGTTTATGAATTACTATGAACGAATTACCATGAAAACGTGATTAATTTTCTTAATTAAAATTGTTTTATTCGTGGTTTCGCGTACAATGATTGAGTGATATTGATTGTTATATCGTTTAAACGCCACTTTCATTGATAGTCATGAATAATTAAATAGTTTAGTTAATTTTATTGAATAATATATGGATTTTTTTTGTCATTCAATGTCATCAAACTAATCTCACCGTGCACAGTAATACACATTTCCCACCGTTCCAAAAAATTATGCGGACCATTTCGTTCTGCGCTTTCACGTACAAATGTCTCCGTCATTCTGAAGCTGGTTATATGCATACACGAAATATACATGAATATAAGCAGCCGATGTCTCTCCCCGATTTTTCACGTAGAAAAAAGCGCAACACATGCTAAAGCCGTATCGGGCGGCGCGAGTGACAAAGCTCTACGGCGGTCTTAGGCGTTAAAGAGGCAACGAGGCCAAGGCTATATATTATGCAGTCGTATAGCGTATAAACGTGAACGGGGCGCAACTATACACATGTGTTTATGCTGCACGTGTGTTTATACGCGTATTATGTACGTGTATTGTTATACATACGTTATATGATGTGGAGTGAAAAATGAAGAAAATATTCTACTGCATGAGCCACCGTTGACTCTGACGTCGGCTAAAACTGTACGTGCGTGGCTGTGCGCGCGCTTGCGTATGTACCAGCGTAATCATCTTTTGTCATTTATCACGAATTATCACAAAAGTCAGGTCCGAATCAAAATGAATTTTTATCGATGACGTTTTCCTTGTTTCTAGAAAATGTATATTTATACATTATTAAGGTTATTTGCGCCACGTATAATACGAAAACCATTGAGATGATTAAACTTGACAAAACTTTTAAAGAGTAATTTTTTCCCTGTGAGTAAAAGTGGATACATATTGAGTTATAAATAATTTATGTGAAATATTAGGAACGGTTTTATTTTTGTTTAGAAATCAAAATTAGTAAAACAATCTACCATTAACCTGATTTTTCATATCAGCAACATTTATTTTTATCCGCTGTAAAATATTCATTACGTGCTAATACCGCAAAGGTGAAGAGGCAATCTCTTATAGTTGCTTTTTGCACGTCATGCTCTCACTGTAAAATATGTAAAAAAAGTCGTTCATGCGTAAGCCATCTTCGATTTCCTTGCTCACTTTATGTCATAAGTGAAATCCATGTCGTCTTTATGTTCCCGATATTAAATATTCTGATGCACACGCAAACTAAACGTGCATATTATAGACAAATTCGATAGAATTGGGGTCGCTTGTATCTCACGTTCGATCCCCATATTTCCCTGCTATTTAACTAATTTTTTTTTTAGCTTACTTAGTGTAAAAAATCAAAAAACTAGTTCTGTATATCTTAGTTCGATTTTTAAAACTTGATTTTGACAATAAATATGTACAGGAGCAAAGAGCACTAATACCAAGAGATTAGCTGGAATTAGAAAGACGAGGGACACGTAGTGTATAAAGATATCCTTGTACCATTAGTTAAATGAGACTTCTCAATTACTTAATTAGTGTTTCTGTAGATTTTTTTACTCCAAAAAGATTAGTAATTGGAGGCGTATTAAAGAATGGGAAGATAATAATTGATTAATTTCGTATTGTGATGGTATTTCAGTAGGTTAATACTGGTTTCAATAATGTTTTTTAAAGTATTACAGTAAACAGTAACATTTTCTATGAATTTATAACAGTTTCGAAATAATGAATAATTCAAAATAGTTGAATGATAAAAATTACGAAATTCAACACATTCAATCGAAAATTTTATTTTCATGTTCTTCAATAACGAGATTTAAAATAGGAGAAGATTCAAATAGTATCTAGGAACAAAAGAAATAAACACTATTATAAGTTAATCTTAGAAATTCACATTAATCAATACGTATGCAAATTACCATGACCAACCACAAGATGGCTCTATCCCAGTTTTCAAGAAACCCTCATACAAAGTAACAAAGATCAGGCATAAATAAACGGAATATCAATCATCAAACCGATCTTAACCTGCCGATGTTAGCCCGCTACCATTCACATTCTAACAAAAATGAAAAAGTGAACAGAAAACTTACCGTTTAACCCCATGTGTGTGTGTCCTCTTCTCACTTTTAGGCCTTCTGGCAATAATCGAAAGCAGACCCTGACACAGCTGCCTTCGTACTACCCTACAAACTGACTCAAATGCATCGTACTCATAGAAAATTTTAGATGTATTTTATTTCATGTATTTTGATGGAAGAATTATAATGTATGAACTATAATAACGATTCAAAAAAATTTGTCTCATTTTACGGTCAAATTTGAAATAATTTTTTGAACAAAAGGATTAGTTACATTATACCCATTCATACCTATTAATAAATCAGTAACTGAAAAAAGCCAGAATAAATTTCCCGCAAAAATATTTATATTGATGTATGCTAGTAGAATGAAATTATTTAAAGTAGTGCACTCTCGGCAAGATCATCCGCAGCAGTGACATGATCAGGCTCGTTATACTGTTTGTTGCAGATGATGACGTACGCGAACGACGATCGGGTCTCAAAACGGGCCCATAACGACGACGAAGATAGACATCGATGAAATCGAGCGGATCTCGCACGATCGAAGAAAATTGTCTAATATAAGGCGAGGCTTTTGTAAATTGGCTGAATAAAAATATCAAACATTCATCGTCTCGTTAGCGGAGTCAATCGAATAAATCGTGCCGCTTCTGGTGCGACAACAATTTAAAGATTGCGAGCGACAAGCTGCCTTGTTGCACGTTACGCGAAGCTGAAAACCTCCCGCTAAGGTAAGCCTTTTAGTTATTGTACCATAAATGTTTAAGGCGCGCATCGGCATTATTAATAAGCCGTGTTTGCATCTTGAAATCTCAACCGTTGCGAGGAATCATCGAGAACTTGGATTTTTCTACCGAAATCCAATATTAGCAGTCACTCCAAGATAAAAGTATGAATAATTGAGGAGGCGAAGCGCGGCAACATCCTGTGAAATTGTTACGAAGCCAAAACTTTCCTGCTGTTCTCTCTTACCACTTGCCAGTGTGCATGTGCAGAGGTGCCACACATATCGTTATGAATATGTCAGGCAACAATTTGCATTCAACGCTCCGACATTTCATGCTCATGCTACTAGGCTCTCTCTCTCTCTCTCTTGCGTAGGTGCATAATTTCATCGTTGGCTCTCAGCCCTGCTCGCTTTCCTAATCCCTGCGGTGCTTTATGCATACGCCTAGGTGTTTATACACGCCGGATAAAATATGTAATACAGAAGACAGACGCAGTCGTCGTCATACGCTTGGCCGCAAGGGTGTTTCTTTTTTTTTTCTGGCGTATCATTCCCCAGCACAAAATCCAAGTGCGAAACAATGTTATCGCTCGCGAGTTAGTTTAGATTTTCGTCGTGCTTTTTAGTTAACGATTTAAACGCGTGCGCGCGTCGAGAGTGGCGTATTCGAGACCCGCGCGTTAATTCTCGACTCGTTGGCGAGTAAATTTTTTTCCAGCCATGGCGCAGCTCTCTTTGCAATTTTAATAACTCTTAGTGCCCTGCTGCAGTCAGCTAGCTCTTGCTTCTTATGAAAGTTATACACGGCAAGCTTAGCAGTAATCTGTCTACTTTCTGCTTTACACAGAGAGCCGATGTTTTTCATTTTTAGTTTTTGCACTCTCCCGCATCGAGCTATGTGCAAGCTGTTGTGCAGCATTCATCGATACGAGTCGGAAGTTGCTCGCGCGCGCGCGCGGTACTGTGCTATACGGTTTTTATTTTTACACTTTCGAAATGCTAGTCCAACATTTTTTTCATCGTAAGCATCGTTTGCCCGAAGGTTAAGGTTTATTTTTTTTCTCCCTCGGCAAAAATTCTTCTTGCTGCAGATGTTTTTTCATGCTCCATTACTCGTTACTCTCTCTCCCTCTTCTTCTTTCTCTATGCGCATATACTGCTCATCTCCTGAATATTTCATAACTTTTCTCTCTGTGTCTTTGCTCGCGCGTCTCTCGTTGCCTGCGCCTCAGCCGCGAGCTCCATTTGAATGTATGATGATTTGCGCAATGTTATCTCTAGATGATCGCATCAAAACAGCAGTTCTATAATGCAAGCCCCGGGCAACATCATTGATCGTAACAATTTCTCAGCTCTCTCTCTCTCTCTCCCTCCTCCATCATGAATATGAATTTCCATTAGCTTCGAATTAATGTTGCAGCGGCAGCAGCATCTTTTTGTCAATTAAATAGCAGGTAGCTGCTCCTGCTCGAGTTGTGCTCTATTTTTCATAATATCGTTCACGGCGAAGTTGCCATCTAGAGATCTTAAAGTACTGTAAGAGGCTGTTTTTAATCCTCGCGGGGTACGTTGACCGACTGATGAATGGCATCGTTAAGGCACACTTCCTATACATCTAAGAAACTGCCTCGGCTGCAGCAGCAGCAGCAGCGCGAGAGGAAGAAAGCAGAAAAGAGCAAGCACGGAAAAGGTGGCAAGAGAAAGAGAAAAAAGGGGCTTGGGCGCATTTTTTTGCAGTCACTATAGACAGACGCGCGCGCGCGCATTCTTATTTTTAGCTCCGAGAAAGAGGCAGTTTCCCCGAGACACTATAGCCATAAATCTTCGTCTCCTCGTATGTCAGGATCAAGTGGAATCGGCTTGAACGAGAATCGATAGACCGCAACGTTGCGATGTGTGCGCCGCTGCTCCTCCGCATGCCACACGTACACACAGCAATGCTGCATATTGTGCGAGTGTGCGCATGCAGCGCGAGCGTATATAAGCGGCTATGCCGCGCCACACAACGCCGCTGCTGGTGCTCCGGTTGCGCGCCCGTATTGGGATTTTTCAGGCCAGATCTCAAGGAGCGATCTCTGGCTTTATTTACTGATAGGGACACATTCTGCCTATTGAGTTACGTAAAATATGTATACGCTAAAGCTGCACGGACTTTGCTCCGCGGTCGATTTGATGCTCGCGCGACTTCCGTTTGGCTGCTATGCGTCTTTTATTCCACAAGTGAAAGCGAATTGGAAAATTTCGAAAAACAGCTTAACATCTTGGGTGGGAATTAAAACTCACCTATGAAACACGACAGACTATTTATAGAGCTTCGACAAATTTAACATAAGGCATCGGTTTTGATAAATTCAAATCATCAAAATGAATATTTTTAAAACTTTCTTACACTTTTGCATACTTTCTCGATGTAATAGATACATTTCTAAACTTTTTATCATTATATCGTTATTCGTATTTATAGTTTGTAATAAATCCACAACACACATCATAAGTCATCTACTCTAAAGCAGACGATTGCTGCAAACGAGCATAGCAAATTGATCAGAGTCGAGTGATTATTGCTAAATAATGACCTTTGATTATTGAATATATTTGAATATAAACGACGTTTTTGCATCAAATGAGCTGAATTTTCACTGCTCAAAAAACTTTTAATAATGTCGTTGAATCTTAGGAATAATTATAGCTTCAAGAAAAAGATTTTCCACTTCCATACTTATAGGGAGTAAGTACTTAAAAAGTATTGTTTATAATTTAACTCTAGGTAATGTAAAAAAATGTGAGTAGAAGGATTTTCACAATAACGACAAAATAAATCACAGTTTGAAATACTTTATTGTTCTTATTAAACGAATTAAAAGATGTTTACGTGAAAGATGTTCTCAACTTGCCTAACGTATTCACGTAATTTTATTGCTCGAAAATATCTCTGGAAAAATCTCACGCTTATAGGTTTTGTTTTGACTTGTAGGTTTAGTCACGATCCTACGGTTTTCTACGACCATGTACTGTATTTAAGTGTTTTTTAAGGGTACCCTTTTCTCCAAATGATTTATGACAAATCTCACATTCGAAGGGTTCGTTTCTAATATGCACTACGTTGATGTGCTTTCCGAGATTTGCCTGGTATCCAAATGATTTGTGACAAATTTCACATTCAAAGGGTTTGCTACCATTATGTACTGTATCTATGTGACGCTTAAGTTGATGTTTTAATCCAAATGATTTGTGGCAAATCTCACATTCAAAGGGCTTATTATAATTATGTACTGTATTGATGTGCTTTTTGAGGGAACCCTTTTCTCCGAATGATTTGTGACAAATGTCACATTCAAAGGGTTTGCTACGAACATGTACTGCATTTATGTGAGTTTTGAGGTGACATTTTTGTCCAAATGATTTGTGACAAATGTCACACTCAAAGGGTTTATTCCGATTATGTACTGCATCAATGTGAATTTTGAGATGACTTTTTCGCCCAAATGATTTGTGACAAATGTCACATTCAAAAGTCTTGTTCCGATTATGTACTGTACTTAGGTGATTTGTGAGGATACTTTTTTCTCCAAATGATTTATGACAAATCTCACATACAAAGGATTTATTACGAATGTGTACAATCATTTCGTGGCTTTTGAGATTATACTGTTTATCAAATGATTTGTGTCAAATCTCACGTTCATATAATCGAATACCCTTGCCTGGTGTATTAATACGTTTTTTTAGACTTACTTCAGTTTTACAAGTTTTCTGGCACAAATTAATTTTATGAGATGATTTGGTTCTAGTTATTTTATCACATTTTTCTACCTCCTTGGATTTGTCACGTTTCGATTGGAGATTGAGTGAAAATTGACAATTATTTTCATAATTGAAGTGCTCCTTTATCAAAATAATTAGTTCTTTATCAATCAAATAATTAGTTTGAATTTTGTTTTCTGTTTTCACAATAGGTAGGTAATAGTTTTGATGCTCAGTTTTGCAAGTGGTGGCAAGTAAAGACTTCTGTTTAGGTTTAACATCTTTGCACTCTAAATCAATTAAAATTTTTTCATTCAACTGATCCTGTAACGGCATAGCTTCATTCATGTGGTTTGCCTAAAATTAAAATTGGATAATATTTTTTAATAATAGAAAATTTGAGCTTAAAAAAAATCATTAAACTCACTGGTAATTTATAAAACGGGATCGTATCAAAGTTTTTGGTTTCATTACAGCCCACCGAATCGAAATTATAACCGTCGCCTGCATCTGGCCAAGTATGATTGGGTTCTTTTTTTATCCTACAGAATAATCAAATTTGATGAAGCAATTGTTTGAAAAAACATGGCATTAACAAAAAATTTTATACCTAACTGTATCCCGAATGCTTTCCATCACTCGCTTGATTATAATATTTATTCACTACGAATTTTCATTAAATAAACTGAAAAAATATTTGAGGTTATATGCGTCAAGTAGACAACACTGTACTTCGGCAATTCACCAATTTGTAAACACTTGATAACGGCAGGAATGTAGCTCTTTGTTAGCGACTGTACGGCGCACTATACTACTAGTGTATTAGCAAGGTGACTCTGTGATTGTGATAGCTCCTTGTCGATATTTTCCCCCACCACTGACGACTAACCACGAGCAGTAATGTACAACAATACATAGAGGCGCTTGCATCTCACTACACCGAAATTGTATTAAAATCATCATTCATGAAGGCGCAAATTTAGTTTTGTTATATACGCGGAAAATAGTACTATGCGTACGTGATATATTACGGTTGAAGTTCAATTAATTATTGGAGCGTCAGTTAGTACCAAAATATTTGTGGTGGTTGCGTTGAATATTTAAAAAAATAATATATTATTCGCATTAATGTTTGACAATGAATTTCGTTTCAGTTCTACTTTTAACATTCGTAAGTGAATAGTAGATTTAAAAAATTCCTATTTCAGTCCTGAGTAAATCAGGAAAAAAATTGTCAAAGAATTATTTTACTGGATATAGTTCGACTTTTTTTAGAAAAAAGTACTCCAAAAGAGTCGAAGCATCTGAATCTGACGAAAAACTCGCAGAGCTTTCTTACAATGTAAACAGATACCACCTAAATTGTTGTAATGGGCTTTCAAAATTAACGGCCACGAATAATCCGAGAGTATTAAAAAAGGCTCAAAAAACTGAAAATAGCAGCAAATATGTGAGCAAGCGAAGGAGGACGCTGCTTGTCAATTATAATTAACTACGAACATGGATCCAACTAACGTTTCAGGTTCTAGATGCTCTTAACAAAAGCAATGGAACTTTTTTTCTAGTTCGAACGGTTTTCTAGTTTTTTTTCTTTTTACTTATGCTACGAACGATAAGCAAATGTTCACATTTTTATAAATAAAAAGTAGTTTTGCTGTAAATCGAAAATTCTATAGCCATCTCATTGTTCAGAATATAAGTTATTGTAACAGCCGGAAGCTCTTGTAATACCCCGCTACAAATATACTCAGGCATAAAAAAGGATCTTTTGTCCGGTTGCGAATCGGTCACGCATACTATGGAACGGCAATAAGCTCCCGTTCAATTATGCACCTATCATTCATCTGTAAGAAACATTGCTGCCATTCGTATCGAATCAAACAAACTGAAAACACGAGCTTGCACGCGTACCTTAAGTGCATTATGCATATATATAGCCACCGAGTGTACGTATACAAACTTGGCATGGCAGTACTAAGTCTCATGAATTATGAATGAACGCCACATAACACAAACGTACCTATACGCTTTGTGGTTTGCTTGTCCAGCCGCACGCGGGGTACGCTCTTGAAGCTGTATGTGTGTATGTTATATCGCCGCGTGCGCGCACGACGTGTGCGACGTATAAATTTTACATATCGAGCCGCCGCTGCCGCCGCAGTCTTCTTCAATCGCGGCCCGCTCTCACTTTTTCATTTAAGTATAATATGAAGATCGATCGATTAAAGCGTATGATGCGCGCGACATGTACGAGAGCGAATGAACTTTACTTCGATCTTGATCCACATTAACTTAATGGCACGCGTGTAAAGATAGTAGAAATAGATCAATTTCCATGCTTATAGTCCGCACAACTGGCTCTTCGATAATTGCCATGCAAAGGGTACAATCCAACACCTATTTTGCAAAACTTTTACTCTTCATCGGTTTTGATTGTAAAGCATTTCACGCTACGCTATTTCTAAAAAAAAAAGCTGCGCACTTTAGGGCAGAGTGTTGACAACGAAAAAATCTGCATATTTGTCAATGGGTATTTCAAGGAAGTACGGATAACCAATGAAGAACGCAGAGAAAAAAATTGCAGTTTTTTGCGTTGCGCACGCGTGACAATATCTGCATACGTATACAGTCAAGCGCGCACAATAACAACTCGAATACAGGTGCTGGTAGAGAACAACAGTAGCCATAGTTATAGAGGCGAGAGAAGAAAAAATTCTGACCGAGACACGGGTTTGCAAAACAAAGGGAGAAAAAAAAACACCCACCCACACAAAGCACCTTCTGGCTTCTTTGTTTCGAAGCTTTAACACATGCGATTGTATGCGCTCGCGCGAGCTTAACACATATATGCATATATACCCGTGTACAAGCAAATGTGTATATGCACCCGGATCAGGCGGCAAAATGCGCTTGGCGGCATATTGCAGCGACGGCTCGTGCTACTGCTGCTACTGCTGCTGCTGTCGGAGGTGGAGGCGGGGGGCGCGCAACGAATTCATACACGAGCTCGACTCTTTGTGTCGCCGACGGCGCGCGAAATCAAGTTGTGATATCCATGAGCGAGCTTGGGAATTTCTTTTAGCACCTCGACTCGCTTTCGCGGCTGCTTACGCCTTTGAAAGGGCGCAAAAAAGTACGCGCCCGGCGCATAGAGCTGCTTAAGCTTTTCATGCTCGGCGACGCGTTCCCAACTATATGTACACACGCAAGAGCAGACCATTCTATAGCTTAAATTCTTCACTTCGCACGGCATTCAATAAATTTGTTGGCGCTTTTCATTTTTATTGCGAAAATTATTAATATTCGCCCGCTTGTCGCTATAATAGATTGTGCTTTTTATTTTTGAATGCTCTTTTTCAGTTCATTTGATCTAAAGGGTCTTTTGAGGTATTTAATTTTTCGACAAAAATTTACTGATGAAAATTTTACAATATTCGATAATATAAAACACAATAAAACGGTTTCGAAAAAACAATAAAAATCTGATTAACCAAGTAGCCGTTGATCTTCGGAAAGAGGAATGAGATTTGATTCGATCTACATATACATATAGTTCAAATAGCAAAACAGTTGTACAAGATATATCCTCCGGGACGAAGCTGAAATACGTCAAAGTGAAATGAATTTCCAGGATTGATTGAATGACTGACCTAGACAATACTGATCGAAACGTTATCGGTGAAAGAAATCTTCTCTTTGACATAAAAAAAAAAAATGGAAGTAAAAAGTTATTCTACATAAAAAAACAAGCGAGGAGAGAATGTTACGTGAATATTTAACTTTTAAACTTTTACCAAGATTTTCAAGTAGAGAGAGGTTTCAGACACAAGATTAGCAGTTAGACCTTGATTCTATTCCTGTTTATATTTACTTACATATTCTGATTTTTTATTTTGACTTGTTTTATGAATGCGTTGATAAACCTCATTTTTCCAACATTTTAACGATATTTGTATCAACATTCATCATAATATTATTTTAACAAATATATGTTTTGAATCAATGGCATTAAGGTTGTTAATGAAAATGTAAATTATGAAATATGATACATGAAATCGGATAAAGCCTTTTATTTAAAAGTACACAGATGTCAAAAGATAAATTGCAGCACCGGCTTTACTAATTTGGTCATGTTTATTTTATTGAGTTTTCCGATATTCATTTATTTCAATTATTTACTGACGCGAGCATCGATGTTTATTTTGCCAGGGAAAAGTTAATTCGAAAAAGTGAAAACGAAAAATCCTCATACGTTTTGTATAAATGCAGTCGCGCGGAGCGTATAGCAGTGTGACGCAGTAGCAGCAATGGCCCGGGCACTTATTGATCACCGCTCACCTGTTCGCAGGCGCTTGGCGCAGGTACACGTTATATACGTAACATCGAGAGAAGAAATAGCGTATATAGAGATTCGCGCATCAGTTATTATATATTACATATGCAAAAATGTAGAATTATCCCGTCGAAACATGCGATTTATGATATTTACACTCGTTGAAAAAGATAAGCGGAGCGAGCAGTTGGATGTGCTTCGCTCATTTTATTATTTATATACATTCACGCTGGATATTGTGCGTTGCGCGATCCCGAATAATTAGCTCTGGCAATTGTACTCGGAATGATCACTGGTGCGATGCGTTGGCTGCTTTATCGCCGTACTCCACGCGCGTCGGATTTTCAGTTGCCACGCTGCGGTTTCTTCACTGGACATTCAATACGATAATAATGGAACGGTCACTCGTTGGAGACTCGCGACGGCAACTAGAGTAATTTCCCGACAATAAAATAAATAAAGCGCGACTTTATTACGTGATATGAAAAAATATCCGGTTAATAAATAATGACGCGAGGTGTAACTTTGAGTGTAAAAAAATTGGATTATATTTGCGGCGCTGCAGCAGCACGTGTCGCAAATGTAGCGCTCGAAACATTGGATCATAAATCTTCCCCTAAAGTTTACGTCCGTGCGCGTTATACGTCACACACGCGTGTGCGAGCGCCGCCGTATGAGGACTATAACGGCTAAAAGGTTAAAGGGCGCAATTTCTTCAGCATTTTGTGTGCGCGAGTATGTGTGTGCGAGCGCATAACGCATATGTAATTGCTTAGACGTTTTTTCAGGTGGAATTTTTTTTCGTAAACGCGTTGTGCTGCTGCTTTTTTTCGTGGTTTCGGTATAAACGAGCTCGGCATTACGTGAGGTTTTTTACCAAAAGCTCCGTGGGATTTATTTTTCCATTCTGTAATGGATACAGGGCTGACGACAGAAGCGATTTCGATAAATAGTTTCGAAATCCGCCAAAGAAACTTGTACGGCGCGCGAATGCCGTGGCGAACCGCCGTCTAACAAGCTGCATTCTGCCTCTTGCCCTGTATGTATGCCCTGTGTGTGTCACCACGAGTCCGAGTTTAAACTTTCGAAAGAATCCACCGGATTTTGGAAATGACCCACAACTAATACTATTTGTCTAAATGGCATACACCTCGGAATCAGTTGCTAAGAAGCCTTACAGCCAACCCTTCCTTTAATAAGGTTTGGAAAATCACGAGATCATTAAAAAGAATAGAGAAAAATTAAATTATGTTACCAGGTCAATAGCAATATGCCCCGCTAAAAATTTAAGATTTGTAATTACGTGCGTTCTCATAAAAGAGCAAGTCGCGTTAAAGACGTGATTAAGCTCTGCAGCTTTTATAAAGAATATCCTTTGGCTATAGAACGTCTTGCTTGTATCAATGTAATTAACGAGCTTTTTTCTTACCTCGGTCCATCAAGCAAAAAGTATCGCAGTCTCGCGGGTATTTTTGCCGCACGATAAGATCATTAATCCACAAACTCGGAGTTCAAAGCATAAATACAGGGATGAAGCCAAGTTTATAGTTCATCTCTCAAGTCGACAGGAAGAAACCATCATTCGTACACGGCGTAATGTACGAGACTGCGCCATAACGGATCACTACTATACTATGAGCGCACAATGTCACTTTGGTTCTATATCTGCATACGTACGGTATACAACTGGCTTTAGATGCTATATGCATGTTTGTAGATTTGTGTGTCGAGCCGATGTGACTGAATGCTTGTTTAGGGCTACAAAGTCAACAGCTTTGATGTCATCGTGTAAATACACGTTGGCACATCCCGTCCTTGTCAGATGCTGAGCAAACTTTTCAATTATTCAATGTATTTACATCATGCACATTCAAGTACGTATAATTTATAATGGTGTGAGGAAAATGTTTCAATGATGCTTATTTCGATTAAAGAATTTAGAATTAGTAGAGTTAAAATTGCTATAATTTAAAAGGTATTACTGAAACTTTCGAAAGGGAGCTTTTTGGTCACATTATTATCTTTTTACTCAAATTTATTATTTATTCATTCAAATTATGAATAAATAATAAATATGAATCATAATTTGATTAAAAACACAGTTTACACAAAAGAAAAAATTCTTTCAAGTAAACGATGAAGTAATTAAACCGCTGCGCACCAACTATTGGTTGTCGATGGGTGATAAAAACTGATTAATTGACTCTTAGAAGCTAGCAACTATACGTGGCATTTAGACCGTGTAAATTCATGGCCGCAGGGAGTAAGTGAACATTGAGAGATGCCTGTTAAAAGTGTAACCCGGAAGCTAGTCTAAAAGACACGCTTTTTTATCGGATACGCGCTGATAATGAGTCTACAAAGTCAAGTAACGATTTTTTTTCTTTTAAAAGCTCAAAAGTTTCCAAGCTCTTTCGAGCTGTATCGGCTTACATGTATGTTTTTGTGTACTTCGATTTGGGTTGAAATATATACCGCTGCTATTGTTCCTATCTTCTCTTTGATTTTAATGGAATTATTTCTCTCATCTTTTCCTTCTGGATTATGGATTTCAATTTTAGTAATACAATTTGCTAACAGTCATACATTATTTGCTTCACAAGCATTAATCAAATTTCTTTTAGAATAATCAAGTAATGCACAGTGCGCTCAAGTTTGAAACAATTGAAAATTTAATTATTCTTGAATCATTGTAACTGTTGTTGCAATTCTAACGGTAGTATAAAAGTAATTAGAATTAGGGTTAAATTTCTAATGAATTTAACGGAACATAAAACAATTGTAGATTCAAAATGAAAATACAAGTTAAATTAAATAATCGTGTATGATTGTTTTTACTAATTAATCATTCAAAATATTCTTCAATACCAAAAAAATTCATTTTACAATTAGTTACAATCATATTTTATGATTATTATTATAATCATTTGCATTGATATATTTAATCAAGTTGTTGAGAACAAGCTCAAAAAGTAAGAAAAAAACTTCGAATTATATTTGTTAAAAAATATATTGTTATCGGCTATAATTGCAGCCGACGTCCCCTAAGTCAAACACTCTACTTGACGCCAAAAGTAATAATCAGTCGGGATATTAAAAATTTTAACGTACTTATTTGAATTACTGGTTGACAACAAGTGATGAGCTGATCGCCACACATGAAGTGTATAGCTGAACGATACAAAACAAAGAGAGTTTATTGGTACTTAGTTTGGCATATTTGTACAAAAATATTATGTGTTGCGTACATATGAAAAAAGGCAGGCTCCTCTCTGAACTCGGAGGTAGCCTGCGCTGACGACGCGACTGTCGAGTCGACGGTTTCTTACATAAAGATGCTTCAAATGTATCTGCTTTTTTAGAAATTTAAAAGTCAACACAAGAAATATGGTACGATGCAAGAAATATAATATAAAGTTGATGTTGAATATGAAAAAAAACTTCCTCCATCCTTGCAATATTCTTCGTGTAGCTCTTACTACATTTACACATTTGAAATGTTGTAAATCCATTCAATCTAATTCGCTAATTTGAATTTAATAAAATTTCAATAAAACTATTCTTCAATATGAAATCATAATAAAATCGTTACGCCTTTTAGGTAGATATCAGTGAAATAAAACGACACGTGCAACGCACTTAATAAAAAAGATTTAAACAATCTTTATTTTAACATTTTAAAATATATTAAGTGATGTTAACGAACTTATTTTATACCACATTCGACGCCTCAGTGTGCATTGTTTACCATTTGTTGCTTATTATTATAATTGACATTTCTGTAACTGCCTGTACGCATAATAAGCTGTAGTTAGAAACACATCAGTCCTGAAGAGGTCGACAAAGTGGTCGGCGAAACGTCGACTAGGTGACGGGAAGTGCGTGATTGTGCACTTCCACTCACCGCATATTTTAATAAATTTTGACTTTGGCACCGCCTTTATTGTGATTTACTTTCTCTGATCATATAAAATCGTTAATCGTGCTATGACTTATACAATTATTTGCACTTTTCTACTTGCAGATTTACAAATAAATGTACTCGCCATCTAGTGGTAGATGTTAGCTTTAATGATTGAAAATACTTATGGACAAATAAACTCTGAAATGTATTAACATTAAATATTATTTTTTTGTATATTTTCGTACTCTCGTTAACGACAGATAAGCAAATAATAAACATGAAAGTAAAAAGGGGGTAAATATATGTCATACAAAGTTGATGCAGCATCACAGTACGGCAGATACTTTTGGAAAAAGAACTCGAAGGCTCTTCATATCTCGCAGCCTACCTGACAACATGCTAAATTTATAATAAATACATAATTGCTCAGTAGACAACGGTGAATTGCCGTGAAACTTATGAATGGCGTGCGTATGCGAGCGCAGCTCGCAAGATAAAGAAAAAGAGCGAGAGCAGGTTTGTACGCCAACCGCAGACTGGGGCCCCTGCTTCCAACCGGCAGCCTCGTGTTATGCGCATCGCACACCAGGCATTACAGCTGACGAGCATCATGCACATACGTTATAAAAGAGCCTAAAGCCATGTGTGCAGCCACGATTTGCTGCCTTGCGCTGTTCCCGTGCGCTCTTTGCGCTCTTTGCGCTTTACAGCGCAGACTGCGTGTGACTCGTGCAGCGCTGCGAGAACTGCGCGCCCTCGAGCTTCGCAAACTCCGGAAGAGAATCTAATAAGTAACTGAAGCTTCGCTCGCGAAGACGCGTGTATAGTGTCAAAGAGAACGAGTTGCGGTGCATATACAAGGCGTGTTCTTGCGAACTTCTAGTCTGCATTGTGAGAGCTGCGCACATACACTGCTACTGCGTGTACAGCTCTCGAACTACTTTTCGAAACGAGTTTGAGTTTTATCGACCGAATCTCGCGAGAACGATTGCGCTTCGAGAACTTTTTTACAGCCTTTTCGTAGTTCTGTAATTTTATCGATGAAACACTGTCTCGCGCATGCACATTGCGAACAAGTCGTGTTGCGGAAAATAAACATATGATTTCAATAGCAGAGCCGTGAGCGCCGATACTCGAAGCCGCGTAACTCGTAATGCCTTGCATTCGCGCAGCTGCATTAAAATTCCAGCGTTCTCGCGGTTTTCCGAGCGATTTGAGCCCTCGACGCAAAGCCTCCGTGCACAGCCGCAGGAAGCAGCCACTCGTAATCGCGCGAGTCTCAGCAATTGCGCCCGATTGTGTTGCGGGGATCTCTTAGCCGTTTAAGAGACCGCTGCGCCGAGCAAAGATGCAGCTTTTTCTCCGCCGCACTCGGCTGCCTACTGTGTCGTGCAACCGAGAGCACAACCGTATATATATCGACTCTAATGCCGCTCGAGGCTTGTATTAGTTCGTTTCGGCCCAAAACGATCCAAGGTCGAAGGCGCATAATTAACGCAATTTGAGCAAGAAAAATAAAAGACTTATACATTTTATCTCACTATATATACAGGAGAATCGTGGATTCAGAGACCCACGAAAACGACCTATCGTTCTCATTTAAAATATATAAAAGATTCGAGAATTCTGATGCGGTCAAACGATTTCTCACAAAAAGTGACACGAAATAGTGTCCGAAAAATTCAATATTAAATGGATACGGGTGATAAAGGACAAAATCACCGACGAAAAACAGTTAACAGAGTAGAATATTTATAGGAGACAGCTCTTTGATAATGAATTGGCAAACATTTTGAGTTTGACTTAAAATCGACCACTCTAAGAAAGGCGTCATTGCGCACGCGTCAATTTACCGGTTTTTCGAGAGCCTCGTGGAACATTCTGGAATTCTATCAATTGTGCTTGGTTGATCTACACGACACAAATATAGATCATCCTAGTCTGATCTCTTATAGCTTCGTCCAAGTGTTTGTTACTTTCTATATAGAATATGGATATATAGAATATAGAATTTAGATTGTAGTGATACAAATAGTCAGTACGCCGCAGCGTATAAAATAGAGGAAGATCGCATTGACCGCAACAAGTAATTTTTGTGGAAAAAAAGTATATCTTAAATTATAAGAGATTGTGTCCAAGTCCACGATGTACAAGTCCAAACGCAATTCCACTGGAAAATTTCATTACTATAAGAAAGGCGAATATGTCAGGCGCTATTCCGACAGCTATTATATACAACGAGTGGATAATCTTAACTATGACAGCTTATTAAAATTAAAGGCTTTGCGTGAAAATAAGGACTGGAATATCAAAGATGAAAAATTTTTCAGTGAAATTTATTCTATAATCAACAACTGGAAGGGCCAACACCCAAAAGATCTACAGCTTTTTTTGCAGCCCGAAGAGATCGAGTGGCTTCTCATGGAGTCTATGAAGTCCGACGACAACGAGACAACAACAGAGAGACTCATCGATTTTTTGATCGAAGCCAACTACACTGACAAGCTCGACGTTAGAGATGATGATGGCCAGCCATCGAAAAAACGCGTCACACCGGTGCATGTCGCAGCTGCATACATGGATGAATCAAAGGCTAAAAATCGCGTGATGGGCAAGCTTTTTAAAATATACGACAGATTTCACGTAGATTACGCCGACGTAGATGGATTGACACATTTTCATCTGGCCTGCAAATATGGCTGTCTCGAGGCAGTCGAGAAATACCTCGAACTCAAGCGGAATCCCAATTGCATCTCGCCGATAACAGGTGACACGCCGCTGCACTTCGCTCTGCACTACGGCCACAGGATGATTGCCGACTTATTGCTGAGAAATGGCGCAAAGCCAAATTTAAGCAATTATTTTGGAGACACTCCTCTCCACATTATTTTCAAGAAAGGCTACGACGCTGGATTCGTGCAGCAATTCTTCAAGATCAACGCCGAGCTCCAGCAGGTGGTGAAGATCAACGCTCGGGACAAGTCGGGCAACACCCCGCTACACTTGGCCGTGGGCGAAGGACGCATCACGGTGACCGACTCGCTGCTGAGAAGAAACGCGAATCTGAATGCCGCCAATAACGCGGGATCGACGCCTCTGCACATTCTTTGCAACTTCGACGACGACGACGTTTACTTGATTAAAAGATTCTTTTGCATCTGCGACGAGATGGAAAAGACGGTGCAGATCGACGAGTCCGACAACGAGTGTAACACAGCGTTGCACCTGGTTCTGAGCAAAGACAGAAAGGCGAAGGCTGAATTGCTGCTGAGAAGCGGAGCCAATCCAACGTTGGCCAATGTGGACGGATGGACTCCTCTGCACTTCATTTGCAATGGAAAACTTGACGTGAAATTTTTGGCGTTATTTTTCGAGATTAACAAAAATCAACCTCAAAAAGTGCAGCTCGACGCCCAGAACAAGTCGGGTGACACGCCGTTGCACTTGGCTCTGGAGAACGGCAAAAAGGAGGAAGCTGAATGGTTGCTGAGAAAAGGCGCCAATCCGTGTTTAGCTAACAACGAAGGTTCGACCTCTCTGCACATCGTTTGCAAGAAAAGCTACGACGATGACTTTGTTAAGTTATATTTTGAGATCATCGACGAAAAGCATCATCAAGTGCTAATTGATGCCCGGGACAAGTGGAATAACACGCCATTGCACTTGGCTCTGGGCCACGGAAAAAAAGAAACGGTTGTTAAAACGTTGCTTAGTAGAAATGCTGATCCAAATTTAGCCAACGGCAATGGATTGAAACCTCTGCATGTAATTTGCCAGGTAAACCACATTGACGAGCAATTTTTAGAGAGCTTTATTGACACTACCGCGAAACAAAAAAAACCGGTCGAAGTTGATGCCCCAGACAAGTGGGGTAATACTCCATTGCACTTGGCTTTGTGCAACGGAAATAAAAAGAAAGTTGAATTGTTGCTGAGAAAAGGCGCCGATCCGAACTTGGGCAATTCAAAAAAATTGACACCTCTACATATTATTTGCGGGAGAGAAAAACAAGATGACTTAGTGGAGATGTTCTTCGAAGTCAACCGTGAATTGAAACAGACGGTAAAGGTAAATCACCTTGACGAGTGTGGCCGGACACCTCTGCGATTGGCTGCAGCTCGCGCCTCCAAGAAGGTGATCGAATTGCTGCTAAGAAATGGCGCCAATCCGACTAAATCCAATGCGAAAAAAGACACTCCTATGCACCTTATTTGCCGGAACGACAGATTCGATAATGCGATGACGATGTTTTTAAGGACCTGCAAAGAACTCGAAATGCCGGTAAATGTCAACGCCCGGGACAAGTTGGATCGGACACCTCTGCAATGGGCCGTGGCGAGTCTCTTGGAAAATACTGTCAAAGAACTCTTGGAGCATGGTGCTGATCTGTCCAGCTTCACTTTTCCCGACGAGAGCTACTTCGCCGTGGGCGTTCCCCGGGGTCGCAAAGTTCAGGAAATGATAAGAGAACATATGAGCAAGGGGCCTCAATACCAGGCCATGGTCGATTGTCTCAAGAAAGATCTCAAGATAAGACTAGTGTTTGACATGACGTGCGTCCTCGAACGTCTTTGCAAAGCAGGATACATACTGAAACCAAGAGACGCACTGACGATCATGAAATCGTTAACCATGCTCGGATTATTCGAGAATCGTACGAAAAGGGATGAACGTTGGTATACTGACAGCGAGTTTATAGACAAAGCAATAAAGATTATGTTAAATTGGAACATGTCGCTCTACACTCTGACTTGCTACGGAGCCCAAGAGGTGGCGGATCTTATAAAAGAATATGAGAAACATCTCCAATAAACAGTTCAGTATAACAATTCGGTATAAAGATATTATAATTTTTTTGGTGCAGTACACGCACGAAACATACTTTTCTTTGAACATTTACGTGCACAAAAAACAATAAAAAAAATGTTGCCGCTTATTCTGAAGTAAAAATTTTATTAAAAAAACCTATAAAAGTCAATCACAAGTCATCAAGTCACTGGGTCAATTTTCATATGATATTAAAGCTCACATCTGGTTTACATTCTAATCTGCGATTCATGAGTTTGTACAATGAATATGAGTCTGTCAATGTGCGCAGTAACGAACATTGTCGCCTGAAAGTTGATACATTTACATCATGATTTTACATTTTTTCGAGGTCTTTACGAATTCAAAACTGATGGGAAATTTGTTGTACAAAAAAATTAATTTTTTTATAACTAATTTTTTCAACTTTTAACGACATTTTAGTGCAATCAAAACTCTACAATTGAAAATAAGAATTATTGAACTGTAAAAATATAAAAGTCTCATGTTTTTTTAACATCAATTTTTCTTGGGTCGTATTGAATTGAATTGTCAGTACAATAATCGATGTATGTGCGTGACAGTGTGGTCACACGAGGCTTCAAGCTCTCAAATAGTCGAGACAATAAAAACATTTTAATAGAGAATCTTGCGCAAGACATTGATTACAAGTAATTCCGAGCAAGTTTTAATTCAAAGGCGAAAATTTCAGGCGACTCGACAGGCCTGATTCGCCGCAAGCACTGCCAGTGTGCAAGCATGTAATTGCGTTGTACGCGGCAGCGAACCACGAACCCGAGCCCTACATGCCTCGAACACTCTACCTTCCTTACGACGTTGAAATCTTCCACCGCGAGGTGACATGTAATGCCTTGCTATCGCTGCACTTTTCCGATGCTTTTACAGAGTCTTGGAACTTTCATTACTTCGGAAGCTTTTCTGGATTTTGTTTACGCTCGAACATTTTCGAAGGAAAATCCTCGTACTGTCGAATTTGATTTTTATTACTTTTAATCTACTCGACCGCCAAAATCTGAAGCTTAACATTTTATTTTACTAGACTAATGTTATTCAAGCAATTTACGTGTTTTTTTCTGAATTCTTTTCGAACTTCTGTCAAATCGATGAGCAAAATGTGTCACCGGTTCAAGTGTGACAGGAACGTTTCTCGCCCAACTTATTTCATCAAAACTCTGATGCTCTGAATAAGTTTTGGACTTGTCTAACTCTTCACTCTCCTCAGAGACATAAAAGTTCCTTACTTGATTCATTTGCATTTCTGCGATCTACGATGTAGTTATATGTAAGCCACGAATGCATCCGACGAATAATTTTTTGCAAGAAAATTCTTGACTGCCTGTCCAGCGATGATAAAGTGTGCTCGTCGACGAGCAAGTTTAAATAGCTGTAAAACTTTGAAGAACAGATCGGCGATCCCTTCAAATTAATATGATAAATTCCATTGAAAAAAAAACCTCAAAATTTAACATATGTAACGCAAGAAGGTAAAAGTTTAACGCATGTTGTTGCTTATTTGTTTTTTGCAGATGACATAGAATGGGTTGGGCGGCGCTTGGGCGGCGTGTGGGTGGTGGCAGCCGCCTCTCACCTATTCTTTCGCTGTCTGTCGCCTCCCACGCAAGCTCCTACCTAGTCACCGTATTTTGCATTCTCACCGTAGCCGTCACTTTAGCTAACTTCGTCAGTGCCGAGGACATGTACGTATTTCTCTCCCTGTATTTACACTCTTTGCATATCAATTCTTCTTTCAATGCCGGATAACTCGATTTTATCGAAAATTTTAAAATCATCCATGCGCGGAGCAGTAAAGCGAAAAAGTTTTTTTGGCTTACATACGTAACGATTAACGAGTCGCGAATTTTCATCATTTTTTTTTTTTGGCCGCACGCCGTTCTTGTAAGATTGTAAGAAGGAAATTTTCAACTTCTTTATTAGATCAATTTATCTTGAGAATCTATATAAGAAAAAAATTCATTGTTGCCGCAAACGAGCTTCAATATTTGCTGAATTCCGAATGAGCCGGCCGTTTTATCATGCTAAACGGATTCAGTTCTTACTTTTCAAGTCGAAGCGCAAGAACAGACAAAAAATGCTGATAAGAATCAGTCGGGCGGCTCGAAAAGCTAAACAGCCTCCGGGCTTGAGTTATTCAATGCTCGTCTACAGAGATCCCTCTGACTTGTGCCGTCAAAGTCTCGGCCCGTTGGAGAAAACTTTTCGCGCGAGCTATATTGGCTCATTACAAAACAGATACGCGAATAAGTCTATTTGCGCGAAACGAGACAACGGCTCTGATACACACACCCGAGCCTTCATAAAGTGCAGCTGTGTGCGAGTGACTTGTCGAGTTCGTCGCGAATATAAACGCTGGGTTTGCGTGGATCTGCCCGCGCGCGTCTCACCGAACTTTGCCATATTGTGCGAATTCGCGCGAAGCTCAAGGAGCTTTTGACGTGTGTAAAGTCCCGACGAAACTAGAACGTTTGTTTAGCGTCGCGCACTCGTGTACTCGTCGCTCTGCAACTAGTTGCATTAAAGTCAAATACACGGAGCGTCGAGCTGTTTGTCGGTTCACAGTTGCACTCGAGATTCTCGGGATTTCGATCCGAGATACGACAACCGGAAACGAATACAAGCAAAAGAAAAAAACGAGAAAGACCCTCGCGTGTCGAGTTTGCGAAAAGTGTATACTTTCTCCTCAAGGTGATGTGTGAAATTCTGTGTTCTTCGCAGTTTCGAGGAGGGCAAGTCGGATAAGGAAATACTGGACAATCTGCTGCTGGCGACCCGCTACGACAAGCGCCTGCTGCCGCCGGTCCAAGGTACACTGAGGCCCCCACCCTCGACACGCCAATTAGACGACTACAACACCCCCGACCTTGAACTCGCGTCCGCACCTGGGGTTGTTGCTGGCGCGCGGCAGTCGTCGTCTCCGTCGTCGTCGCGCCAACAGCAACAACCGCAACCAGACGCTCACTACGAGACTAGGCACCACGAGTTAACCGATAACGAGCACGACCAAGACAGTCGCGATCATCACCGCCATCGGCACCATCATGATTATAATAACCACTACGAACATCACAAAACAGCACCACACAACCACAGCTCACTGCTCACTCCCCGTCGAAAGGGTACTTTTGATCCGCCACCTCTAGAGCTCATATGTATCCGTTACGGCAATAGTTCAATTTTATTAACAACAACATCAACAAAAAGCAGCAAAAGCAACCTCGTTCTATAATACACATCTTTTTATCTTCTACATATTGAATTGCGTTGCCTTTATATATTCGCATCTTTTTCTTAGTACAATACGTAATATGCAGAGATTGACACGGCAATTTGATTGGTGGCTGCCCACGATTAGATTTTCTCATTTCGAGCTTGAACAGATTCTCTCGTGCCTCTCGTTCATGCCTGGCGCATTTTTTCAAGCTCGTCATGTTTTTGTATCGCTATATATATATAACAAGTTACATTTTAATATATCTGCCTCGCCGTTGTTACGTACGCAGTTTACGAGAGAGAATTTCAATTGCTATACATCCATTGCCATACGCGTCGAATGAGCTGGAGGGCACTTTTTAATTTTGAGAAACCCGATACGCGCGACGTCTCGCGTGTTTCATATGCAACTGACGCAACGGAATGCTGTTCTCCTCGCCGATAAATACCACACAAAAAAATCGTTCAACGATGTATATTTCACGCAAATCGCGACGATAGTCTGATTTTCAGCACGCACGAGGTACACGCGCAGACCTCGAGCTGGTGAATTGCTGTATGAATTGCAACGATAAAATAAAAGTATCCATCGCTCTTCGACGTCGCGAGAAGAAGAGAATATATTTACGTAATCGGATACATCTAAAAAGTATACATCGCGAGAGATGCCGCGTATATATTGTACGAGATACGATTTCAATATATGTCACGTTCCGCGTGTATACGCGAAATGATCTATGCTGCTCGGCACACACGCGCGTATGTACATTGCGCGGAGGTTATAACTTATTGCTTACACGCCGATTTTAAATTGAGTTTTCTTGTCGCGCGAGCTCTTTGCGCTCGCAGTAGAGGAGGAATATATCGAGTTGCGGAACGTCGCGACAGCATAACTTTTTCCCTCCTCTATATACATGGACGTAGGGAATTTAACGTTCAAGAGAGAGATGAAAAATAATCTGAGACCCGAGAGAGAGAGAGAGAGAGAGAGAGAGAGAACCGCTCGGATAAATCCGCGATGATCGCGTGTGGGTTAAACGAGCTGCGAATGTACGCCGAAAGCCAATAATACTAAAACGTGGCGCGCCGTCCTACTCGCGATACAGATCGATTTCGGGCATCAATTTTTTAAGCGAAAACGAAGCGACGAAAAAACGTCCCGATTGCAAACTATTAGCCTCGAATCTTGTAGCCAGTACGTATAACGTGGGTGTTCGTGTGTTTCTCTGAGCTCTCTCTATGTGTGTGTAAGCATGTATATGCGTGGCATGACTTTCTTTGTCTTTGCCATTATTTTGGCAATGGTCCGCTGCAGTCGCCGGGTGAGTTTCGTGCATACAAAAATTAGCAAAACCAAAAGCACTCGCGTTAATGAAACTGACACGGCATATAACTGTACGAGCGCAGCGAAATCCCTCGAGCGAGCCAAGAGAATGTCAAGCCGCGCACGTACACACTACACACGCATACCCGCCCGAGCACACACATACACTCACGCTCGCCTCTGCCATTGAATCGTCCTCCTTTTTTTTCTTTTTATTTCGTGCTCGCGTATATATACGCTCGATATTCATGTATATAAAACTAGCGTCGAATCGCCGATGCCCTCGATCAACTATTATCTTTCAGTATGAACTTTTGTTTTCTCTTCATTCACCGAGGTGCTCTCATACTGGCATATTCGTACGGAAGTTTCGTTTTAAATCCCTCTCTGCCTTCATTCGCGAAATCACGGATATACAGGATTTTGTGAAATCGAATCGCTCGGCCCGAACGAGAAAGTGAATTTATATCCGCTGTTTGTCGTCTTGTTATTTTTTTATTTGTATTATTATTAATATTTTCCTCAAAATACAAATCCGTAAGCCGGGTGCAATTGAACGATTGAAATTTAGCACGGTTCACAAATATTTTTTCAATATTCGCTTTTATATTATCCAAGTAATTCGTACGTATATCATTCGATATTCAAAAAGTATTTCGAACGTTTGAATGTTTAATTTAAATAGCGGCATTTTTCTTTTTATTTATAGTTAATTATTTTTAGCAGCTTCACTTTAGTAAGAATCCATTATTCTCGAAATAATTCAAGAGCTTCGTCTATGTATATCAAATTATATTTTTTGGTCTGACCAAATCTCGACTTTTCTACTCAATTCAATCCAGCTTATCAACGGCGTGCCAGATTCCAACTATTATTGGATTACATTATAAAGTATATGCACTGTAAAACGAGTCTAAAAGTATTTCAGTGTTTGGAATCTACGAACTGGAAACCCGCCTTAAAATCAGAATAAATTTTTTCTATCGCAAAACTCCCGGGATACAAAAATTCAAGTTACTGTTTTTTTTTTGTTCTAAAAATCGTAAATCTTTTATTCTTTCAGTGAGATAGCAAAAAAGTCGAATAATAAGTTTAGAGTGTTGGCGGAATACATAAACTGACTTTACCAGTCGAACTCCTTTTTTTTGCTGTCTTTCGCTGTCTTTTTCTCAATGGATGCGTCGGGAAAAGAATGTCGAAAGTCTAGGTGGGAAATGTAATTTCTCGACTTGAAGACGATAGGATATTCATTCAAGTCGATTGATACCGCTGAAATGGCAAGGAAAAGTGGATCCGAGCAGAAGTGACATTGGATATTTTCTTTTAGAAACGAGTAAAGTTAAACGATAGCTTCCTCATTTATGCTGAAAAGTTGCTCAAAGTTTTGCGCACCCGCACACAGACGGCCGGTTTCGTAGAGAGGGCGATGCAAATATCGGTCGCTTGAAAAATCCTCGAAAATCAATGAATTTGCATAGGGGCATATATTTCTTTCGCTTCGCGCGAGATACAGTAATTGCGTTTCCACTTTCATTCCGTTTTAGTCGCGGCGGCCCTTAATCATATCTCACGTAACGAGAGGAATGAGAATCTATAAATCTAGCCATTAATATTTAATCGCAAAGCGTCTGCGGCTCCACCGCGAAAATAAACAGCGACGGAATGTGCCACGTGCTCGATACAGATAGACAATTTCAGCGCCTTATTATATATACGGATGCAATCGTACAGGCGCGTGCGAAGCAACATCAAGCTCCCACTCTCACTCTCTCTCTCTCTGCTTTTCCGCGGCTGGCACACAGGTGCTCATTTGCATGAAAATCCAATTAACACTGTGGTGTAAGGTGTTGGCGCGCCGCCCCCCGCGCTCCTCTGTGTATTTGCGCACGTGCCGGAATAGAGCGGAGAATAGTACAAAGAGTGATTCGGTATATAGTTTCCGCTGGGTGTCTCGTTTTAAACAAGTTATAGGGCGCAAGACCACATTTTCTCTCTCGTTCTCTCCCTTATTCTGCCAGCTTTGCCGCTTTTATTTATTTCCTCCGGATAAAAGTGCAAGAAGTTTCGAGGGGAATTATTTTGACTTACACACATACCGACTTAGGGGGCAGGAATTATGTAAGCAGCCTGGCTTATTGCTGTCTTATTGCTCCCGTTTAAGCGGCCACTTTCTCTGCTTTAATACCGTCTTCTGGAAAAAGAGCAGTTTTTGAAATTAACTCTGTTGCGTAGTGAAAGAAAAGTAGAACAGAATTAATTCTGATTTTCCTAATAAGCCGAGACTTGAACTGCGAATGAATCTTTATTTTCCAAAATTAAAAAGGACGAAAGACAAAAGACGTCAGAGACATTTTTCACTTGGAGTTATTAAGCTCGAAAATGAAAGTTCTGCGTATATTTTGAGAAAAAAATATCGAAACAAAAAGGCATTAGTCAACGCCGTCTCATCAAAATTTCAACTTTAAAACTGTAATATCGTCAATATTCTGTGTAAGTAGGTGGTAATCATTCATAAATCTTTGTTTAACAGCCCTGTGCTTGGCCTCGAGCAAGTTGGATTCTTATATAAGCGGTTTAGTAGACATAAAAACTTCGAGTCAAAAGTTTTGTCCAATAAGTCGAAAGCAGAAAGTAATTCTTCTGTTCTGTGTCCAACACAAAGTGCACACACGTCTGGAGATAAAAAAAAAGAGAAGAGAACTTTTAAATCGATGCCACATCTGTGTGTTTCCTCCTCTCTCTCTATCTATCTCTATCTTCCTCTCTTTCTCTCTTGCAGTTTGTTTCTGAAGAGGTGTTGTACCAAGTTTTTCCATTGAAACTGACAGTTCTATCCTCCTAAATGGGAAGTTATATACGTGTACCACTACATACAAAAGGTATGCAAGATTTTAATCAAAGAATGGATGTAGCTATTTACGTCACGCGGGGCTTGAATGAAACTTTTTTTTCGCGTAATATCTGCATTTCACGCTAAAATAGATGTAAATAATTAACCAGAGAACTGTTTAACCTTTCAATTTCTTCGATTGATGTTCTCAATCATTCAGGCTGAATAAGTCTCGTGAAAAATCACCCGAACTCCAAAGCGACGATGGAAATGTGTTTGAATATAAAAAGAGCAGAAGAATGAAAGAGAAATCGAGCGGAATAAAAAGCATCTCAAGAGTGAAAAGTGAATAAAATTCGGTTTCTCCATGTCTGTAAATGTACGTACGTATATATCCTTGCTTGCTCCGTATACGCGATGCGTAGCTCTTTTCCGTCGTTGCATAATATGAAAATTGAATAGTTTAAAATTCATTACGTGGATCATTTGTCTGTTTCCTTGAGATGAAAAATTTTTGGATCAATTTTCCTCTTCTTTTTCGTGACCTCGATCTCTCCTTTTCGCTTTTTTGCCTTCAGGATCACATGATTGTCTTTTTTTTATATACGCGAATAAATTTTTTCTCTTCAAATGGATTTTTCTTCGCTCTCGAACTGATAAGTTCTTTTGTACGTCCACGTCTCGAATCCTCTTTTTCTCATACTGACCATATTGTGGACACGCATACCAAGTTTTCCAGAAGGATAATAAATACCCAATGTGTTTTGGTTATCTTGGCATATTTTTTAGTTACATATATAAATAATATCATATTCTTTACCCTCGACGAGACATGATCAAATATGCGTTCTGAAAAGAATAGGTTGTGCACCAAGTAAAAAGGGAAAATACGGTTTTAGCTCTTGGAGATTCCTAAACATCTTGCGTGTAGCCGCGAAAGTAAAATAGTGTAAGGGCTCTTTCGTAGAATCGACCTCGCCTAAAGGTTGATTATGCGATAAGGTGCAAAAAGGAGAGACAATCTGGATAAATGCCATTGTACACTGAAGTGCCTTACTTGAAATTTATGAAGGCAGAGAAAATACGTTGGTTCTGGCAATCTGTATAGTTTACACGGAATATATAGATTTATTGTTCAACGGCAACAGCGCATATTTATACGGAGAAAGTGCAGGCCAGTAACAAATATATTTAAATTTATCGTTCTTGGAGAAAATACTCAAGATTATACATAATAGAGCAGCAGCTTGAATTTATCACGCGCTCATAAGCTTCAAGTAGTTAGGGTTTTTACTAAGAAATGCAGAGCGTTATAAACTTAAAAGTTGAACCTTTCAAGCAATTCACGCGAGTACTTTAATATTATATGCTTTTGCTTTTTCTATAATTACATGAAAAAAAAAAATTATACTTACGCATTTACACATTCACATGCATTACCATCACTGAAAAATATTCATACATTTCAGGTAGCAGTCAATATTTCAATCATGTTCATCCATGAAAATGTACGAGTACACGCAAATATAAAAATTTTATAAACCACATGGAAGGGCGAAATCCCTTTCGTCAAAATTATGACCGAATAACACTATAAAAAGACTGACAAAATTTATGTACTCAAATAAAAGACACAAACACTTTTGTCATAAAAAATCTTGTTCTTCATCTTTTCATTCATTTCTTAACTTTTGACTTGTTGCACACTCTTCCCCGCACTTATATCGTAATAGCCATGATTTTCTTTTAACTTTAAAATTTTTCATCATTCTTTCCTGTATGAGTATATTTCGATTATAACCATTAGAGAGCATCTTTTACTTAATTTTTTCATTCCTTCAAAAAATTACGTTAATATAACTGTGTCAATGTTCATTATTCATTGTACTGTTTTTCTTAAAAATAATCTAACATTTGCTTGTACTGAATAACAATTGTTAAGTTCGTTTTGAATTTTTTAACCGATTAAAATTAAGAAGTAACTAGTGATATTTCGCACTCGCTCGGTTAAAAATATTTTTATAGATAAATATTCAGATAGATTTCCTAATTTTCTATGTTTATCTTGAACTCGAAGCGAGTAAGTTATTAAAAATAAACTCAGATTATGGTGCGTATTATTCATTCCATGAATTGTAAAATTTTATTGAGAATGTCAATCTTTTGGGCTGCCAAAAAACTAAATCGAGTCTAATATTTGTATTTACTTCGTAGTTGCATGAATTCTCACTTTTTGGCACCCTCTTAGCATTACTATAAAATATTAATTAATATGTTTATATTATGAAAGATCCTACCCGAAGAAAAGATGAAAATAGGTAATAGTCAGATTATTTTTATCTTCATTTGATCTAACTGTAAAAGCATGACATTTTGAATTCATTACGTATCAGCCAATGAAATTCAAAATTCATGCGTCAGAAAAATCACATCAATGTACAATAAAGCTACTGACGTTTTAACTCGATTATAAACTTACCGAAAAGACCCATACGTGCCCCCTTCGAAACAATGAGACGATTCAATTTTTTTAGTTATTAATTTCTTCTTTTTTACTGTTCAACGACACGAAACCAAATGAAAAGTTCCTCCGATTAAACGAAAAGAAAAAAAGATTGCTGAGGCCGACGTATGTGTTGTGTGATGGCATGTTGCAGATGCGGATTTCTGCTGCGGCATGCACTGGCCCGGAGACTCTGACTCAGATTCGTCAAATGAGGCGTCTCATAATCGCTCAGCTGGGCCTGTTTATTTCGACGATGCCTCGATTGGCCTCCTCCATAAGAACAAGAACCAGTACAAATACCACTACACGCCGCACCAACACCTTCGCACTCACCTTCGCGGTCCGTCTTCTCATGCCTCCTTCTAATTCTTTCTATCAGTTTCAAAATCTGTCTCTCTATCTTTCTCTCTTTATTTCTCTCTTTTTCTTACACTCTATCTTTCTTGATTTCTGATTTTACTACATGATATGTATATTCTTGGCTGTGTAAATTATTTTTTACCCTTTTAAACTGTTCGTATCCAAATAGATGAGGAAACATGTTCTTTTAATCACTTATTATTCTTTTCTTATATTTTTAATGTAATTTAAGCAATTTATTTTTCAAAGTTTCCTTATTCTCACCAACTTATTTAAGCATTTGATTATGTTCCACTTTTAATGGAAAGAATTACAATTTTTTAATTGTTCAAACTCTTGATGCCTGACCTTATCGTGATCTGCACCTTTTCCTCGTGAAAATTTCACTCCCAGTTTTATCAAGCCTGTACATGGTTCCATTATAGAATCATATTTCCGCGAGTTTCAACGCACTTTTTGCCATATTTTACCAAAATAGATTTGATGTGGTTTTGAGTAAAAACATTAGACTAGTATTTAGATGCGTTCAATCGATAAAATGTAGTTTTCATGATGAAAGAAATACCAGTTAAGCTTGAAATTTAATGTTGAAATAAATAATTATAATATAACTGTAAATAAAAATAGATCATTCTCAAAAAATAGTCTAGAACTTGATGTATTTTTAGTTTATTTTAAATTAAAAACTCTTTCATATAATTCAGAAGTTTCATACGATTATTGACATAATCAAAAGTTTAACATTTTTCCGTGACATTTACAAAGATTACAAAAGTTTTTAAAGTGTCAATCATATCTCAACAGTATTAAATAAATTTAAAAGCTTGAAATTGGTTTGTTAATCGAAATTTTGAAACTCATGAACTGACCTCTCTTGTCTTGAATAGCATTGTTCGCTCAGCCCCTGCATCATGGAATGAAATATACGGCGCATTTATTTATGAAAGGGAAATGAAAAATCGTATGAAAAACTGAAAGTGTATTATCGTCAGGCTTTTAAGCGTGAAAAGGTTTTTTTTACCATTATAGAAAGGAATTAAATGAGTTTTTAATGGATTATATATTTTATAAAACCCACAAAAATAAAATTTTCCGCTGTTTGAGCAGTCAAGTATTCGTGAAATTATTAGTTCTCACAGTGTTAAATATTAAACTGACGAAATTTGAATAGAGACTGCCTCTCACTCAACATGCATCTATAAAATACTTTTGCCTAAAATAGCTAAATTTAATAATCACTTCACCACTGACATGAATAACTTATCAACTACACCACTGTATTATACAATAACTCATATTTTAAACAAAGTAGTTGCGCATTATTTTGAAAGCATATATAGTGGTTGAATTCTTGACCAGGTTATTATGTTATGCACTACTTTCAGCACTGCTTATTTAATGCATTTTTGATGTCACCCAATAGACTAATGCATCTCAGCATGTATAAGTTTTTGCTCTGATTGCATGCGAGTGCTGCTACTATACAGCTTGATTATCAAGACGTCAACATTAAATAGCGATATTTTATATTTGTATCACATACTTCCTATCATTGAATCTTTTGAATGATTCCTCTAATACCTTTATATAACGATCAGCATTATCATTTTGACTGAAGACCATTTACTTGTTGACGTCAATTTTTTTGAGCTTCCTGTTGATCTTTTTTTTACATAATTGTCCTTTAAAAAAATGAACGAATTGACAAAAAATTTACAAAGAATTGTTTGATCTTTGTTTCAGGAACCCTGACAGTAAACGTTAGCGTGCTGCTACTGAGTTTGGCATCACCAGACGAATCTAGTTTGGTAATTAGATTTTTTTTCTACTTAATTACGCAAAATTTTAAGGAAAATCTAAACCACGTAATAATTTTATATAAATACTACGAATAGTATATTTTTCAACGGGTGCATTGATAGTTTTTCAGCAAAACCAGGGATTATAGTACTAGCCGAAGGCGAGTGCTGATAATACTGTTAAAAAATCATATCTGCACTAGTTGATACTATCTTTTCCTACGAAAGTCTAAAATTAGTAGCAAAGATGCGTATTTTAGATCAGAGTAGGAAAAAATTGTCTAGCATAGTCGTATAATAAAAATAGATGAACAATTGTAAAGAAAAAAATTAATTTTTATTACTCATGTGTACTTGAGGATGCATTAACAAAAAAAACGCTGTTCACGACTCTCGATACAAAAATATACTTCGCAGTGTCATTATGACGTATGTTCGTTTTCGACAAGGAGACATTCGACAGGCTCTTGATCTACATCACATTGTATTTGGTTTTTACTGCACGTGGCACATTGTGTCAGACAACCCCGAGTTTACCGCCGACGGGACGTAGGCCCGTGTGTACCGCCAAAAGGCGACACAGGTCCGTGAGATCCTAGTCGCCTCTTGCGCGCCTTACACAATTGTAAAGGTACAACGTTCTCGATCTTGGTCGCATTTCGCGTCGCGTTTCGCCAAGGGCCAAGAGGCCGCAAGTCGCCGTAGAAACGAGTCAACGTAGCTGTTTTTTTTTCATTTTTTTTTTTCACGTTATTTTTTGCCTCGTGAATGGCACACCCGGTGCGCCTTTTTGCCGAGTCATTGTGGTACGCCCTCAAAAGACCTCGCAGCCACTCGCTTCACCGGAAATTTCGCAGACAAGGACCTACTGGCCTCTCACCTCAGCGAAGGCCGCGGCTAGCCCCGTGCATTCCGCGTAGATATCGACCGCCTCGTTATCGCGCGCATGAAACGAGTGCCACGGGCCCTTACACGCTCGCCACTGTTGCTCGTCCGTCAAAGTGTCGAGCCGGTAGAGATTTTTAAAATCTGCACCGAGTATCACGTCGTGGTCCAGGTATGCCATCGCGTGCCAGCGCATCGGTTCGATTCGCCCGTCGACTTGGACGTGCACCAGTAGCGTGCCGAGCGTCTGTACCAGCGTGGGTGTGCATAAGCTTCTAACCGTCCTGGCCGATTCCGTGTGCAGCCGATGTTTAAGTCGTTCTGCCACACGAGGTCCGACGGTTGTGACTTGACCACCGGAATCGTACAACGCCTTGTACGTCACGCCGTTTATATGAACGTTCACAAAATCGCGGTTTTCCACGATTATATCCACGGCTTGATCTCTCTCGCATGTAGCTGGGCTTCGCGGTGGCACGTCTGGTTGGTTGACTGTCTTGTCGGGACACTCTTGTACGCAGGCTGCTGGAATGCTTACGAACGCGCTATCTTGTTCACAAGCATTTTCGGTTTTTATATGAGTTGCAAGTGTAGGCCCGTCGACGAACGCGACATTTTGCTCGTCCATGCATCTAGTTCGTTTAAATTCCGGCACCGGCACCGGTCCTTCGTATTCGGGCTCGCTTTCATGCTCGCGTTTCTTTACTCCTGCGTCTTGGCCAGCCGCATCAATATGCGAAATGGGCAGTGTCATAGCTGCCTTATTGCTTTCAGCCCTTGTTAATGTTTCGAATTCGTGCACCGCTTCTCTTGTGTAATTTCTCTCAAGCTCGTATGCTCGTCGTTCTTCGTATGCACGTTGCTGATACCACCAGTTCCAGTAAGCATAGGCCGCCGTGTTTTCAGGTGTATATGACAAGATCGCGCTCGACGCATCAGCGCGTTGGTCCGATCTTATGTAAACATCTCGCCAAATTGAGTTTTCGTTGACCATTCGATGACTCACACTTTGTCTCGAATATAAACCAATCTGTTGATAATACCTATACCACTCGTACTCATTGTTTGAATTCATCTCGGCTGGAGGTGGCCGTCGGGCCTTGCCACAATTGCCTCCGCCTTTCGTACGGCCTCGCTCGAGCCGATGTAGATCTTCTCACACTGTTCTGACTCGTGAACGCTACACCTGGTACTTCTCTTCGACAAAATACATACACTCTTCTACACACACGTGCACATGTAATACTTTCTTCCTCACCAAGAATATGTTCTGTAACTGGTACAGAAATCACAACCAAGTTCGGGAAAACTATAGCAAAAACACTCGGACGATCCGATCAATATCGAGGTCAAACGCTAATTGCTAGGCATGCTGTGCAACGGTTCGATTCTGCGAGCGAGTGGCAACGTGCGTATCCCCACTCCGCGGGCCGAGCTCTCGCTACTTGAAAACGTATCAGTGCAGACGAAATCTTTTGTCGCGCAGCAGCTCTGTCAAAATTAGGTATCACTTGTCCGGCGTCGGTAGGGCCACTCGCAAGGTCATTGCTGGAAAACGCCGTACTGTGTGTAACGTACAAAGTTACAGTATTTTACGTGTAATTTGAAAAATGGCAACGAACGGAGAGTTTTAAATGCAAGTTTGAAGTATGACAACAACCAATGCTGATCTCGAAACTCTTTTTCGAGCTCTCGGACTATGTCAAACAGTCAAAATAATAGAAAATACCATGAGCGAGTCGTTTATTTCCAGTCTCGCACGCGACGCTTGGCTCCATAACTTTTTGCCGGAGCGAGGGAAAATATCTCGCTGCAGCTGATTGCGTTGCGTGCGCGGCACCAAGTATTGTATAAGTCGCGCGTAGCGTATACCAGTCCAGCAGGCGCGAAGATATTTTCATTAAAGTCTCCGGGACTAAAAATATGTGTGGCGAAAACGCGAACGTAGCAGTATATTATAGCCTAAGATTTACGCTCGGTCGAGAGAAATTGTTTACGCGCGCGGGCACGCTCGGCCGCGAGAAATGACTTTTGGGTTGTGCACAATTCCCCCGCTGCAACCCAGAGAAAGTTTAAGCCATGTCGCTCGAAGGACATGAAAGATTCAAATGACAGGCCGAGCTAATGAAAGGCGCTAATACTTTTTCTTCTTCTTTGTTTGTTTTTTGCAGAAATACGAGGTGGAATTTTTGCTCCAGCAGCAGTGGTACGACCCGCGGCTGCGCTACAGCAACAGATCGCGTTACGAATTCCTGAACGCGATCCACCATCACAACGACATCTGGCTGCCGGATACGTACTTCATCATGCACGGCGACTTCAAGGATCCTCTCATACCCGTGCACTTTGCCTTGCGCATCTACCGCAACGGCACCGTCAACTATCTCATGCGGTACGTGAGTAGCGAGCAGCAGCTTTTTCCCGGTCTGCTGCTGCTGCTGCTGCTGTGCATAGTGCATACCTGTGTGCTACACAAAGTGGCGCAGCGCAGCTCACCAGTACACACGCGTTACGTGTGCGGCTTGATCGCGCTTATGTGCGCGCGCGCGCGCGGCCCATACGTGTATAAGTGAAGCTCGACTCTATCCGACCCTCCACCCGCATTATATAATGAAACGTCTGCGTATATACCACCGTACCAAGAGTATTTTCGCAATTTGTATTCACATGTAATGCTCGGCTTGCACTCGCTGGCTCTCTCTCTCTCTGCTTGAGATTAATCCACGATGAAGAACTTGCATAATTCAAGCCGCATCTTTGATATATGCGACAAAATTAAGCCGACGATGCTCGTGGAATATTTTCTCATTTCGTTTACGAGTAAATCGCAGAGTGGCCGACTTATTTACTTGCTTAACTATCGAATAATTTATAAATGCACTCCAAGTTGGTCTGAATGGACGGTCATCATTTGAATTAAATATGGATTTATGGAAAATTCACGGTTGTTATCCATAAGGATTCTCGAGCCAACTCCGATCCTGATATACCTACAATCCGTTTTCACTTATAACAGTGGCAACTCTAACTTTCAACTTAACACTTTCTGTATGTTACAGGCGGCATCTCATACTCTCCTGTCAAGGCCGACTAAATATTTTCCCATTCGATGACCCACTGTGTTCATTCGCCATAGAAAGCAGTAAGTTTGAAAAATCTTCTTGTGTCACTCAATTCTTTTCCTTTATATTTTGTCAAAGTCAAAAAATCGGAGCGCGTCAAAAACCTCGTCAGACGTTAAAAAATCACGTGTCCAGATGGGAAACATAGCGTGGAATTATAATACGATTGAATTTGCAAAATCGAATTCTCACGACGTCGTGTCGGTATTTTTTCAGTATCGTACGAGCAGACGGCGATCACGTACGTATGGAAGAACGACGAGGACACGCTGCGCAAAAGCCCAAGTCTGACGACGCTCAATGCATACCTCATTCAAAATCAGACAATCACGTGTCCGATCAAAGCCAGTTGGAGGGGTAAGTTTTCTCGTTAGATTTATTTTTCCTCTTTCTTTTTTTTCTATTCTCACCTTCCATGCGATACGTATATCATGGCGAATTGCTCCAATTAGCTGTATTTGCCAGTTCGATTTGCAATCGATCAGAAACTTTGCGATTGCAATATTCTTTCGACCCCGATACGATTTTGAGCAAATTTTAGACGAGCGAGCCAGCGCAATAGTAGTTGAATTCTCCGCTCTAATATTCGCTGCGAAGTGATAAAATTAAATTGTTCCCAGTGACGTACAGTGCGTACGCGCCCGCGAGAATCATTAAAAGAATCGCTGCTTACTCTTTTACTTTTACGAGCGTTATAATCATATTTTCGACGAATAAAACCGTCTCGCAGCTACGATGTCCGAATTCGTATTGCATGATTTTCGCCCCCTGTACGAAAATAAAAAAAAAACGCAAAAACATCATTTTGTAACGTACGAGAGGTCAGGTAATATTTATCGTTTTTACGATAGTCCAAAGTAAACGAAAGAAAAATAATCGAGGAAAAATTTGTCCGTTACTCGAGTCTACGTAAATGTAGAGCAGCGAAATAGCGCGAAGGTCTTTTCATCGGGGGAAAAAAACGAGTGCCAAAAAAAAGGAACATTCACCGCGCAAACGCCAATTCCTGTTCTCGGTCTCGGCTTTATTTTATACATGAATGCGCCTCGCGTAGCATCTGAACGACTGTATTATCCTCGTGGGTGTACTTTAAACTTGTTTTTTTGGTGATCGATTGAGTGTTAGATAATTCCATCGAAAATGTGCTCAATTTTTTTTTCTTTATAAGTACCAACATTTACCGTTTAATTTTTAGATAAAAATACAAATTAAGGTACTTTTTCATCAAATTAATATAATGTGATGGTACAAATAAGTATACGATTTAGGACTTCCAGAAAAAAGTTCTTTAAAAAATTAACATAAGATCTAAAATTGAAAAAGTAATAATTAAAAGTTAACCTATTTTAAATTGTTACATAACTTGCACTTTTTGCATCAATTGGCACTCTGTATTTCATACTACTGTAGTTCATGTTTTTTGTCCTAAAACTGTTGCATATTGAAATCTTTACTAACTAAGCACACTCAACTTTTGACTGAAACTTTTTTAACGCTCTCTAATAATTTTTGCTCCTAATTGAAAATTTCTGTCGCTGCATCGGCTTATTTTTAACTTTAATGTTTAACCACCTATTTCATAAGTCTGTTTTTTTATGAGGTAAGTTGCTAGAGCACAATGCTATAATATGAAGCACTTCTGACTAGAAAACTAACTATCCAAAAATCTATTCATTTATTTTTAAGTGTACGCCACGAAGCTGTGAAAAAAGCTTGAAAATTATGAATATGCATTTACTCTCTCAAAAGTGTCCATTCTGCTAAGAGTATATTACTTATAAATATTTTAATGATCATCATACTTTTTATGTGTGTCTGTTATTCAAACATAATTGTTGGCTGAACTCACGTATTTTTGGCTGTGTTTATTTGTCTTCTGTGTATTACAATCTTTACTGCACCCTCTATTATTTTTAAACAGATAATATTTGAAAATATATTCCAGTGTGTAAGAAAAAGATGCTAATATACGGAAATAAAATATGTTTGAAATTAAACACACTGGCGCATGTCATCAATTAAAAAAGAATATGTACTTACAACATATTTTTTAATTAAAATTAACTACTGAACTCTCGAAAAATCGTCGCATGAATTTTATGATCTAGATATATTTTATAATTATATTATTATTATTATTGTTATTATAAATATTATATTGTACATTACATACTATTATAATAAAATAATTTAGAAAATTTAGAAAAATTCTGCACTCATATTAATATTATATTTGCTAGTGATTGGCAATCTTGGTCTCTGTCTCTCGCTTGACAAACGTAAAAGAAAACAGTAAGCCCCTTGTGGTTCCCACCATCGCAGGTCTCGATGCGTCGAAATAGATGTTCTGTAAAAATTTTCAACAAATCATATCTCACGAAATGAAAAATTTAATGATAAAAAATTAAAAGTGAAAAAAGCCAATGTTTTTGCATTTTTTCATACGATAATGCTTTTTTCATTCTGTTGAATATGGTCGATCAGAAGATGTCATGGTAATCATCATCGCATTAGAGATATTGTAAATGGCTAATGATTTGCAATGTACAATGCAAGACTATTTGAAGCTAGACGTCCTATTTCAATCGTAACATTTATATCTCCAGGAAATCGCAAAACCAGCTCAAAAGTTACATTTTCAAACTCTTTCTCGGAAACGTTTTCTGGATATTTTTCTAAAAAAGTCTACGGCGATTTTAGAGACATATTTCGGAGAAGTTGTCAGAAAACTGAATCGAAAATTTAATTTTTTAGTTGGCCTTGCCATACCCATAATAAAGTATCATAAGAACAACTCGTATACTTTTTTCTCATTTTTCTTTTTTTTTCTACATAGAATAATCCCAAAGAATTTCCTTTTCATCGTTAAATTTTACCATGCAACGCATGGATACGGTTCATCTTGATTATGTAAAGGGCCATTACTTTGCATACGCCATATAATACGATATAATATGCTCTACTGAATATTGTGCCTTGTAGCAGATTCTCATTTGGATTGCACGCAACGACGCTGTAATTGGATTGTACGCGTTTGTTCGATCCTAACGCATTGTTGAACTGCAATACATACAAGGGCTTTGCGTATTGGAATATTGTAAATGTACTCAAAATATCTAGAACTATCAGTTTTCATTCATTTTTCATCAATCATGCAATGTTGTTTCAATGATGTTAGTTTACTTGAGTGGAAAATATTGAATACGGTATGTCGGCAAAATTTTTATGAACCGTGCTGCAGTGTTTATGAATCATGCCTTGAAGTCAATAGTTAAATCATTTTCAATCCGTTGTAGTTACTTTCTAGTGTTTAATTATTATCATGTTAAAAAGTTTAGATTAAACCATTACCATTTGTTACTAGTTTTCCTCTTATTCTATATAGCCATGCCAAGTTTGCTGAATTTAATGTTCAATAACCTATATCAAATTTGCCCAAAATAAAATTTTCAATCAAAGTATGCAGAATAGAATTTTTTTCATTGTCCGCTATTTTAATTAAATCCTTAATATACTAAAAAAGCTTTCCAATTAATAATGTTAAATCATTTCACATAATCTATTCTAACTATTTACGACTATCATGTTTACGACTTTAACTAATAATGGAGGTGTTAAATTGATGGAAATAGTCTTGTGTATCAAATCTCAAAAAAAATTAATTTGAATTGCGATATAAAAATGAAAGTGCCACGAGTACGTTGTGCGTACGTGGCAACCACATCGGTAGCTTTGTTTGCACAGATAATCAGTCATTAGCGTTATAAATATAGGTTTCTTTTTTTATTAACTTTATCAATTGCATAACTTTTCTTTTTCTCCATACTTGGCTATATTTAAATGCTTTTTCTCAGAAATTTTGCTGGAAAATTTCAGTATTAAGACATTTTATAATCAGTTATTTTTTGAATTTCTTGAAAGATTATTTAATCACGTAATTTATGAAGTCATTTTTTAAATTCTCGCACTGTCATTTAGGATTAGAATAAAGCTTAAAAATAAAAATAGTATGACTCTGAAACTCCGTGCTAAGTCAATTTCAAACTATTATTTGTGTCTTAATCAAAAACAACCATGCATGGCTCCTTACTTAAATGCGTATGCATCTAATTCGTATCCTCGTAACATGTTTAGTAGTAGAAAATCAAATTGATTTCATCTTCAAGGTAAAAGTGGTTGCAGTCGAAATGTGAATAAATCTTTGATAATTAAAATTTGATTGCAACTGCTTTATTTTATACTGATAGAAAATATTCAATGAAAAAATTAATTAATGTTAATATGAAAGAACTATTTGAACATTTTCTTTCAATATGGGGATGAGTCAAATCGATAGAGTAGATAAAACCCTATTCTTACGACAAAAACATCACGTAAATAATATCGTCAAATGAATGATAAGCGTGCATTAATTAAAGAAAAAAAAACAGAAATTCAAAGGGTTATATAGGCAGATCGTGGCTGTTCTGTTTACAGCTAACGGACAGCTGATCGTGGTCGACTACGAGGATGAGTTTGATGATTTTGGAGACTCTAAATGTTCGCTGTGCCAGCGCAGGTTTGAGGAGCAAGGTAAAAGAACCTCATTAGATTGTGTGCACTTTGGTTTCTTTACTTTCTATTTAATCTATATTATGCTACATAATAAATACATTCTTTAATTACGCAATTTTGCGCCAAGCGTTAGAGAGTTGATCCCCACTTATTCTTTGGTAATATATTTCCTTCAGACCGAATCGAAATTTAAGATTAAAAATAATATGAGACAGAACCAAGTTTACCAAAACAATTTACATTATTGTATGAGAGATCAGTTGCGTTCACGAGTCACAGTTTAAAAAAAAATCATTCGTACCTCATTCCAAATTTATTTACGATGACTGATATTTATAAAGTTAAAACAACATTAACAATTAGTAGATAAGATGACAAAAAATTTTCATTCATTTTTCTAACAGGTCGACTTCGCAATATTCGTATTATTTTGGCTATGAAAACTGAAGATTAAACTTTTCCAAACTCATTTTTCAAATTCTATTTACTTATTTCCTACCTAACTATAAGTTTTTCAATGTTTATAAATATGTCTGTTATGATTGTAAAATATTAATGTTCTAGAATAACCAATACCCACATAAACATTTTCTGTTTCATGTCTAAAAATATCCACTCAAACCCCTTTGTAAATTAATATATACAAATTTCATAAAAAAACATAATTTGATCGATTTAGCTTTTGCATGTGTTGTACATAATTATTATCGACTATGTGTTATTACTTATTGAAATCAGAGCAAGAAAACACATGTCCTTTCGATGACAAAAATCTTTCATATAATTCATCAATTTTTTGGGTTAACAACTTAATTCTTGAAATCAAATTTTCATTGGCAATACTTACTTTTTTTTATATATAAATTATCGTCTTTAGACATGAATGCTTTTCTATGTACGTCATTATCGGACTCAAAAGAGTATCCAGCAAAACCAACATTCTTGGAGTTTGTGCGTCTAAATTCAATTCAATACGTAGTTCAGGTCAGCGAATCTCAATAATGGGCTTATTTCAGAAAATTCGATGCTATATAGAACATGAAATATCATAGAAAATATTATCTATTTTTTGGAACATTAAATTTATAGACTTGGATACATATAATATAACTATAAAATAAAAATATAAAAAATTGAATACCATTGAAATGCATAACTGATGAGCATATAAATTGAAAAGGCAATATCATATAAGCGCATCTTATGCTATGTGAAAGTACGTGTATATGTAAGAATCTTTCCTCTTTTATTTGTTGTCGCGAGCACGGCGTTGCATAATGTTACTTGCATGCTACTTTTTTTTGCGACACAGGAGAGATGCAAAAAAAGTCTCAAGCATGCGCGATGTCTGCTATTTCGTTATGGCTCCGGGGCAAACTATGCCGAGGTCTTTCGACGTCGTCATATCGCCATCGGCGTGTCGCCAAATAGACGAGTTTGCAGAGGGAAAAAATTTGATAACGTTTTTTCAGAAAAAATTGTGTTTACGAGGCTGCACTGATTTTTTTTACGGAAGCGTCATTACGTTGAATGAAAATTAAGCCCATTATTACGCACGTCAATCAAATTTGATTTCTTCTACAAGCTCGTAGATTTTTATACTCAATACCCACTTCTCGAGTTTTGATCAAATTTAACGACGGCCATTGGATTATAAACTTATCTATTGCGCGAGCAATTAGTTTGAGCTCGAGAAAAGCCATACACCTACATAAATAAATGAAAAATTGCAGAACTCGCGAAACACAAACTTTCGCGGCAAAGATCGTAAATTTCACGTTGGCTTATATTGGTACACTGTATTAAGTGCATGTACTCTCGAGAACTTTTAAAACAGACTACCGCCCCTCTTTGGCTTTCACGTCCTTTAGCGCGAGAGAAAGAGGCAAAGAGAGCGGCGGGAAACGAGGGGGGAAAGAGAGGAAGAAATTGTATTTCAGCGAGCCACGCGTGCAGTACACACTCGAGACACTTATTTTCTCGCTGGCGTGCACCAGTGAAAATACGTGAGTTTGGTCAGACATCTTGCGCAGAGAACGTAACGGGTATTTTTTTTTTTTTTCATGTGAAAAATCTTCAAATATATCTCTGTAAACACTTTTGTTGCTTTTTTAAAGCCAGCTCCATGTAATTTTTCAGACAAACATTCGTTTCTTTTTTCTTTTCGCTTAGATACAACATATACAGTACAAAATCACCGCATATATCTGTTCTAGAAATAATTAAATTGTGATAATTTTGAATATTTTTTATTGTTGCACAAATTCATTAAATTTATTTTATGACATAGTTATGTGTTGCAATAACCTTTTACAAACTAAAAATATTTATAAATTAAAAACATAGACAGCGTTTTAATAATTTAGATACGGAAGGATGACCAGAATAATAATGTTAATAACAATAATAATAACAATAATAATATAAGAACTTGGAAAATCCAAAAAGTAAAACAAAATCACGATATGAGTTTTGTACCCCGAGTGTCGAAATTTTCGACTTTAGAACGTACGAGATGGTATTTTGGAATCAACATGATTGTCCCGAACTGCATCGACACTCTGTTATTATCAAGCGCATACATGTCATTTTAAATAGCGTTAGGATATATTGGCATATAAGAAAATTTATACTCGATATAATAATAGAGAAAATAAAAATGTTGAGATACTAATCGTTGCGGTGACGCTCGAACAGGTAATTATAGCTGCCTGAAAGTCGATCTGATATTCACGAGAGACCGGGCCTTCTACTTCACGACAGTATTCATACCGGGCGTCATCCTTGTGACCAGTTCCTTCATCACGTTCTGGCTGGAATGGAACGCGGTACCGGCTCGAGTCATGATCGGTAAGTGTCCATTAAGATTCTCGATTTGTCGACTGCAAAACTGTGACTGTATTAATGAAAACTCTCTACGACTCACGCAGGCGTAACGACAATGCTGAATTTTTTCACAACGTCGAACGGCTTCCGCTCGACGTTGCCAGTCGTCTCGAATCTCACTGCGATGAACGTCTGGGACGGGGTCTGCATGTGCTTCATCTACGCCAGCCTGCTGGAGTTCGTCTGCGTGAACTACGTCGGCAGAAAGCGACCGCTCCACAACGTGGTTTATCGTCCCGGCGAGAATCCCGTTACTCAGGTATTTTTGCCCGCGTTATATACCTCGCCAGCTCGTACCTCGAGAGCTCCGTTTTCCTCTTATTTTATTTATTTATTTACCTTTTTTTACAGACCAATTTTTAGCTCGTCCAATAACATAATTATTACATGTATTAATCCCCTTCTTCCTTTAACGTATAGAATGACACGTAATTCATGATATACAAGTAATATTTAACGTAACACACTTTTTCGCCGTAAACTCGATTAGCTGTGCGTATGACCTCGCCATTTCCTTACGATATTTTTTTACGTGACCTATTAAAATGTAATGCTGATCTGAAAATGAAATTCAATCTTTCGAAAACATGCGGAAATTCTTTCTAAAAAAATGCCGAGATCATGCGCTCGCACAATAAAATACACATATAAATAGCAGTATATATTAAACTCTACTTCAAGCATTTCCAAAAGACATAGATAAATTAAAAATAATGCATCACACTAAGCATCCAATTTACGTTTACGATATATGTACGGGACTATATGCGGCTCGTAAAACTATAACTTCGTATCGTAAGACGCAAATATTTCGCCTGGCATTATTGCAGCGCCTGCGCAAAGTGGGCCGTATATACCGCATGATATACACCGTATCGTATACGTAGAGATGCTGGATGACGTGTAATTCAAGAACACACTTTATTCCTTGATACATACTAGGAAAGTCATGAAAGGCTCTTATAGATTATAGAAAAAAAATATAAAAAAATAAACAGCAGCTGCATTTTAGTGTCAATGTTAGTGTGTGTATATATTTTACATATAATATATACCAGCTAGGTTCGTCGTTAATTCACGATCTTGTCTTATACATACATAGAATACTCTAAAAGGTAATTATTTTAGATATAAATATCACACAAAATACCATACAGCTATTGAACTTTGCTGAACATCTTTACAACTCGAAAAATACTTTCATTTTTTCACGTCAATTGTAAAAAAAAACATGCGAGCTTTAACTATTCATGAGGCTTTAGACACGACTATTCTTGTTATCCAATTACATGGCTTTATCACATGCATAAATTAAGTTTTTCCAGCGAATACAATGCATAACCTTTCGTTGGGAGCAAAAAAATCTCATTAAATTTTACACTATCTCATTCGTCCAATTTTTTTTTATTTGTAAGTTCATTTCTTTTCTTTTACTCTTACACGTCCGAACACCTGTCGATGTCTCAACTTTTACACGTTAATCTGTTTCGCGCGAACAGAAAAAAGAATCCAACGCGTGCAGGATCTAATGGAGCTTCGCAGCAGAATCGACAGACCGTGGAATAGCTTTTTATTTTCAAAGAAAAACTTCGTGCGTGAAATTTTATTTTTAACAAACTTGCGATTTTACGCATCGGGTATTTATTTCATGCAAATTACGACTGAATGTGAGAGCGAATGTACATAATTCTTTAGAGAACACGCTGTCATGCATGATGATATTCCCAGTAATCAACTTTTTCTATCCTATAAATGACCTGTTCTGGGTATAAGACACTTTTCCTTTTTTTTACCTCTTTTAATGAGTTAACAGTTAAACATAAAAAAACTTGCTAAATATTTGTAAAAGACTTCATCAAATGCATGTATTTTATTGCATAAAATTTTTTACGTCAACGATCGTTCATCGATCATGAACAATTATTTTGTAAATTCTCCGTGAATTCAAAAAAGTTCTTCTATACAACCAATCATCAGGCATAAATTATTGAAGTTTATTCAGTATAATTATACGTGTATGTTTACTCATTGAGTGGTTACTTGCGTCATCATTTTTCATGCTCCTCTTTTCTTATTTGCATCTCGGTTGATTTTTGTTAGATCTGCTCTACTTTTTCGGAGCAGGTTTGTTTTACTCACAGATGAACTACTCAGTTGTTTGGCAATTTTATTTTTCGAGGGAAAATAATTACGGATAATTAAAGTATTTATAAACAGAATTTTTCTCCAACCATCCATAATCATAAATAAAAAGTACCTCTCAGGTTTAAATGACTCTCACCGTATACGTTTGTTGAATTGGCATTGACAGACATGTTACCAGCTCGATATTTATATTACACAAAATCAACCTTGTCTTCACGTTTGTCGATAGTGATATCAAGTTGCTTTTTACATTTGCCTACGTGTTATTATTTTTCTTTGCTATAGTATTTCAATATCTTCGGGTTCACATTTCTTTTTTATTTTCTGCATTCAGCACATTGTTAACCTGTGCTCTTAAAAGTCGTCATTTTTGCTTTGTATTTCCTCCTTCATTTCACTTTTATTATATAATAAAAAAATGTTTTGCCTTTATTCAATGTAAATTTGCATGTGAATTTTTTCCGATGAAAAGTCTATTTTTGAGAACAAATTATAGCATTCATGCACCCTTGTTTGCATTTCGTGCAACATTTATAATTTATTGTCAAAAATTAGAGTTTCAGCTTTCAAATGGTTTTAAATCTTTTTATAAATGTATTTTCTTTTTTTCTTTAGTTGATGTTAGAGTTTGATCTATTAAAAATAATTATCATACCTAATTATATTGTCTCGGTGATGTTCCAAGTAACATTACCTTAGGATTTTTGTGTCAAAAGTTACCCTTTACGGCACGACGTATTTTAGGAACCATGAAGGGTTTTATGAGTCAAGGCCATAAGTGCTGATTGAAGATACGAGTATCGTATTTTATTAATATAACACTTTGCTGATTCACACTTATGCTCTCTTTTTTGAGACATAAGTCACTCATGATAGCGATGCGTTGTGAGGTTAAAGAAACTCGCGTCACAGTGCTATAATGTGCGACTTATGTCAAAGAAAAGTGTGCCATTAAGTGTGAATCAAAAGCCACGCTGCGAAACAAATAGATTAATACTTAATGACGCATATTAAACGTCAAAATATATGTCAGGAAATGCATTGCCAAACGGAATAAAATTCATCGTTCTAAAATTATTCAACAATCAATTTGTGGGAAGCTCTCTATTAATAATTCAATTGAAATAATATAAGACAAACTAGAAAATTCTTGATTTAGGGCACATGCGAGTTTTTGATATTAGAATTTGTAATCGTTTACATAGACATGTTACGATACATTTATAAATCAATAAACACTACACACCCATTCACATATTCAAACATACTCGCTAGATGAGACGAAATTTTTTGACAACTCAAGACAGAAAAAAGTGAATTCATTCTGCAGGGCACATTCGACTTCAAAATAAATATCTATATCTGTAAAATGACGTTAGAACTAAAAATCGTTTTGTCGGTAAAGCTGAACTTTTGTGCTATAAAATTTGAAAATTGAACTGTTGAAAAAGAAATGGACGTTTCTATCTAAATGCTAAATCGAAAACTGTAGCACTGAGAGAAAGGGATGCATTAAATAAAAAAAAGTTCAAATTAACTATTCTCCGGGCTAATAGAAGAATGAAAAAAAGAAAAATACGTAGCCGGGCAATTTCGAAATGCAAAATAAAATGGCTCGATTTGAGATTGAAAAAATGTTGCACACGGGTGTTTGGCATAATTAACGCAATCCAAAGAGGCAAATTATTATATCTATGTAGAGTGAAAAAACATTTTTTTCTCTTACTTTATTCATTCTCCTCTTCATTGATGGGCTACGTATTACTCTTTTTTCTTTTCTCTGCATCAAACTACCCCAGCATTAATTTGCCGAGTAAAAAAGATTCAGACTACGTGGACCCTTGAAACTTTGAAATTAACTGGACGATGTAGCTTTATACTAGGTCACGATGATGACGCGAAGATTATTTCTACCTCTATTTTTTACAAACTTACACATCGCTCACACGTGAAAGCTTTCTATTATTATTTTACCCTTTTTTTCATAACATTGTACGAGGTAACGACTTTGAAGTGTAAGTGCAACGTTATATAGATGTTTCGACATTTTTAAATTGAAAGCTTCATTTTCTATACAATATTTGTGAGTTTCAATACATGACATTTAATATCGTGACATTGCATCGAAATTTTCCATTATTTTTTGTTTCAAAGTCAGATTAAGTAACTTTTACGTCAGCTATGGAACTTTAATACTCATTTTAATTTAAATTCAACTATTAAAAGTTTTGAACGCCTTTAAAACTAATTATTTAAGCTAAAATGCATATTGAAAGCATGTATTTTTCACCGCATCAATTTGTAGTATATTGTGCTTTGACTCGGTGTCTAAAAATAAAGTTTGAAAAATTCTTTGCAGTCGAATGTTAATATTGCAGAAAAATGGTTTAATACTTTAATTAACTACAAGTCTAATAAAGAGCCATTTTTCTACTACTTTCTTGAAGAAAAAGAGCCAAAGTATTAAAAAAGATAAATCGTGTTCATTGAAAAAATAACTAATGATAAAGAAAGAAAAGAAAATGATGGAAAAGAACAGACGCAACGTTGGATGGAATGTTGATGGTGAGTAAGTTTCTTTGTTTGGTGTCTGTGATGTTGCAGCGACTGCCAGCGGTGCTCAACAGGATAGGAATTATATTGGCCAGTCCCCTGGTAAGGATCCCCCCTCTGTCTCTGCCACAATCACTCAAAATCTCTGTTATATTACACACTATTTGTTCACTATAAATATTGCATATCGAATCACACACTCACACATCATCTGCTGCATATTTGATTGTATATTTTCAGATCGCACTCTGCATATCTCTCTTTTAATGTCTTGTCGATTTGAATAAATTTTTAATGTACATTGGCAATCTCAATCGCATTGGCACACGTAACAACACAGTAGTTTTAATCACTCTCTTTCTCTTGCTCTCTCGACGTTCTCCTGTCTTCTTCCTCTCTCTCTCTCTCTTTCTTTTTTTTCAAGATTGAGAGTCACACTTCACGTACGGCGTTATACGTATATAGGTATAGATCCTTGCAAAATCGTGCACGGAAAATCCCAACGCTTCAAGAGAGTCTTTTCTCCGGATTTGTTGAGGGTAAAAAAAGAGAGGAGAGTCAGAGTGCGAATAAGACTCGGATCGTGACTGCGTGTCCTTGTGCGCGCGCGATGTTATATCACCCACACATCCTCCACGTATATAAAGCTATATATATTCGCTCAAAATGTACACATCACACACACAACTGTACGACATCACCAAAGAGAATCTTTCATCTAATGTACTTTTGTCTTATTTTCTCCTTTTTCTTGTTGCATTATCCCTGTAGGAGCTTTCTTAAAAATATCGGTATATATACCCGTTCACCGTTGAAAACATACAGTAAGAAAAACTTGTCAGCTCTTATAAGTCTGAAATCTCTCCTTTGTAAATAGTATACTTGTATGACAAGTTCGTATACTTCCTTGGCTGTAAATATAAAAAACCTAGAGCACAGTTGAAAAATGCATAATAATGAAAAAGAGAGTTTTTGTCCTTAATTTCTCTTTCTTCCAACGCTTCAATATATTTTTTTAAATATGTGTAATATTTAATAATACTTTCTACGTCAAAGAGGGAAACTTTCAATTTAGGTGTTCTAATGTGATAATTTGTCACATCATGATAAATCTCCTCATAATTAGTGAATTTAGTACCGGTAAACTGCTTTATATAATATAAAATACTATAGTTAAAGTATTAAGATAAACTAAATAATAATTGAATAAAATTTTTCATAAGTTTACCGAGTCTTTACGGGAATGATCAGCATGAAATTTTTGTTTTTGATGTTGAAAAAAATGAAAATATTTTTACGCGCAATGTCAAAAGAGAAACATTACGCATCACGAGTAATTATGTCCATCAAACTATTGTATCATTGTAATTGTTGCTACTTTTGGGCGACATACTTACTCATTTATCAAATTGACAAAATAATCTCAAGTTGCGTAATGTACTAACTACCGAGTAAAGATCTGAACTATCAGAATTATAATTTGTAATATACTGGCAAAATTATTGCGTTCCTGAAATTGGTATTTCCACTTATGATTCACCGATTTATTACATCTATATTGTCAATAGTCCAAATTTTTACTCGGAGGATGTTATTTGAATTGCACAATATATTATTTATGTGTACAATTACTTATGTTTCTGGGTTTCAAACAGTTCAGAGCATTTTTTGTGCAATGTGTTCTCGCATGTATCTCAGTGTTAATTCCTTTTCAACATAACTGTTCTTCTAACAATCAAGTTTAAAGCTGCTCAACTAAATGTCAACATGCCAGAGCAAAGTATACATTCAAATTTTATGATAAATTGATTCATCCAATCAAAACAGACCGATCTTCAAAACTTTTCAAAAATATAATAAACTTATCGAAAAAAAAATATTCAATTTGATGTGTAAAATATTTTGCTCTGTCATAATTTTGTTAGCTTCTCCTGACTGAAAAACGCCGCAGCTGCTTGCAAATGCGAGGCTTACATTGCGTTAAAAAGGTAAGATTCAACTACTGCACTCTTTTCATTCTATTATTATTTTTCTTTTATGATTTTTTTATTCCACGAGGGTTGGCATTGTAAGCAGCAGTTGCAAATGTTGTGCAATGCATGGTAAGGTAAATGTTCTAGATGAAGATCATAAAAACTGAATACTTGAGTGTGTAATAACTCATATTATGAATAAAGAGTTAGTTAAGACGACTAATTTAAACTTCACACTTTTCTTTCTTACTTTATTATATGAAAAAAATCTAGGACATTTATCAGTTTGGCACATATTCCGTATGTGCATGTACATAATATTTTATTTTACGCTTTGAATTCCATGTAACGTAATTGATGCTTTTCTGCGCTTGCACTGCAGTTGCATCGAGTAATACCAATTCCAAACAAACAGGACAAATAGATAACTTATAACAACTGTAAATGATTCATTCGATGAAGTAGTTCTAAAATTATTTTCACAGATTGGTACAAGAAATTTTCAAAAGGTTTTTCGCTGTCAGCTTTCAACAAGAACAGCTTTTCCAATCTAGTTGTTTATATCAACAATATCATTTGAAAGTGAAAAATATTTTTTATTCATTAAACATCGAGTTCTTTGACTGACAAAAATATTCACACGCCTACACGTATACACATACACATACATAATATATTTGTACACATTAAACGGCTAATTATCGCGAAATCTGTACTGGTTGCATCATTGTCCCGCGTTGAATTATCTTATCACGGCATGTGCCCATGTATGTGTGCGTGTGTGCGTGTATCCAATTATTACGAATGAATGCTGTCATACTTGTTAAATGCGTTTAAACTTGATCAAACTGACCACAGTGCCTAGTCGCAAATGCAGATATCAGCAGCAACTTAATAAATGGCAAAAGCAGCTAAATTGATCGCGCTTCGAGCCTGCATTATTATTATTATTATTATATATCAATGTTTACATTCGTAAATTAATCAACAACGTATTTTGAGCTTTTAATAGCAAAACTTTATTCGTGACCCCATCCCATTCAACATTTATCGAAAATTTTATGTTTGATTCACACTTCATCATCGTTCCAAAATATAAATAAATGCAAGTTATAATCCCCATTTTTATCTTCTTGTGATGATTGAGAATGGAAATTTCTCTTGCCTGATTCGTAAAAAGAAATTTCAATTTTCAACACAATTCGTGTATATAGTCCACAGTTATGATAAGTAGCTCTGGTATTGAGAGTAGTTTGTAAGATGACATTTGGAAACATCATGGGGCATGTAAAAAACAAGCGTTCGGTAGAGCATTTTGATTATTATTTTTATTATCAATATTATTATTAATATTATTATTATAATTACAAACAAAACATTTTGTATTTGCATTTATATATTAAACATTATACATAATATAAATAGTACATTGTAAATTAACCATGCTTACAATATATATTATATATTTACTAAAACCATATATATTTATCCATAAAAATAAATACGAGCGATCCAATTTTCAATGATTTCTTACATAAAGAATCAAAAGTAAATCTAAAAATGTCATATATATTAACCTATAAAAAAATTATGAACAACAAATAAAAGTTATCAACTGAAGTTACTACTATAAATAATCGTTGAATAAAAGCTAGAATAAAAAGACCGCGCATTTAATAATACTTTTAGTGTATAATTTTTCTTGGTCGGGGGATCAAGAAAAAATTTTCATTTTTTCATATCTCAATCGAATTGCACTCCGCCTTATCTTCATTTTTCAACTATGGTGTAGCATAGAGCTCACGCCTGCACATTGAAACTCTACAAATATTTGCATCGACATAAATACTGCAATGCAAAAAATAATGTAATTATTATTGCAAAGCTTTGATGGCCATTTTTACAATACAATATTTTGCAGTATGAGCCGCTAAGGAAAAATGTATTTTCAAATCGAATGCTACAAGCACAAGAAAATGCTTACTTCCACTCCTGCTTATTTAAGAATTTTTTCTATCTATTGAATAAATATATTCGCTAAATATAGATCATATTACATAGTAAGCGCGAAAAATGGATCGCTCGTCATCGGGCTGATATATATAAATTTTAAGAAATATATATAAATACACATGATAAAAAATGCCAATCGACGTACGATTATCTGCCACTGAGTCCCTGTCGTAGGGTGATAAGAAGAGGGAAGGTGGCGCAACATCTCAAGTGGGTCCAGGTAGTTCCGGCGGTACCAACGAAATCGTATCGTGCACCAATTGCGGACCAAATCCATGCACGCACACGGCGAACAACGGATGCAATACCGAGGTACTTTAATACTTGCATTCATTTATTTTTTTTTTCAATTTTTGGATAGCATAATTTTTTGTTCGATATTCACCGATGACATTTTTGAACTTGCAGCAAGTGCGCAAAAAAGAGCCACCCCACCCAATAAGAGTGGCGAAGACGATCGACGTCATAGCGAGGATTACGTTTCCAGCGGCGTACTTCGTATTTCTCACCTTCTTTTTCATACACTACAAAGGCGTTTCCTAGGGTCAAGCCTTTCAGGCCTACGACGATCCTCCGTCACCGTCCTAAATATGCACGTAAATCGCAACTCAACACACTCCCATCGAATCCTCCCTGTTTACTTACAACATTGTATTTATAGAAAAAAATAAATAAATCAATAAAACAACAAAACAAAACAAGAGTATACAAAAATGGGACGCGTGCACATGACCGAGTGAATCAAGTCTCGTATATTCAAAATATACGAACAGTCGTGGACCTGAAGTATTTAAAAGGAACAAAATAATCCGAAATTTCAATGAGAATCAATGGACATTTACGTAACGATGATCTGCTAATGACAAAAGAACATTGAGCTAATACAAAAAAGATTAAACGAATGAAAAATTTTTAGCGATATCATAATTATATTCAAAATATATTACGAGCGCTTAGCATCAGCCTTACATATTATGTGAATTCGAAATGTTACGTAAATGGAAAAATGCCGAAATTTAAAAGCGATGTAATGATAATGAATGATTGTGAGCACTACGTGAAACCTATTTTCGAATGTATAGTTTTTATTACCGTATAAATATATAACGAAAAAAAATATAAATATATAAAGCGCAAATAATAAAACAGATATTATATGTATACATAATTTTTATGGGAGTCGAACTCTCATACCGAAGTATATGAAATGAATAAAAATAAATTGTTTTATTATTAAGATTCATCAATTATAACTAGTCGAAAAAAAATTGTGATCTGTTATTGCTGAATTAGCTGTTATTAAATATTACTATTAACAATGTCTTCGATGGTGAAGACGAAAAACCTTGACCATAGAGAAAATATAAAATATATTATATATATACATTAAAGAATACTATATTAGTTGTAGTTAGATTATACGTCGAATTATAAATGTAATTATTATAATTTAAACAATTATTTTAATTGTTGCTATGAAGCTAGTATACATCAAGAAAAATATAAAATAATTTATAAAATATTTCGTGACCTTTTATTATACAAAAAATGCTGCATAAATATATAATAGGAGATCAGAAAGATGAAAGTATAAAAATTGGAGAGTCATTGATAAAAATGAATATATCAAAATAATATATTCGGGACGATGCAATGACTTATCAGATAAACGTGAGGGCCAAATAGTGACACACGAACCAAATCTTATGAAATATAATAAAACATTTATATATTGTTGATCAATGGATTGCATAGGTATTTCCAGAAAGATAAACAAATCCCATGTATCATGGTATAAGAATCATCTTGTTTTTTAAGAAATTGAATCGCGTGCCTCATAAATCACCGAAAATAACGTGATGGCAGTTTATAATATAAATGAAAATTTATATTTAACAATGCGAGCGTAAGGCACTTGACAGTTTTCAAAAGAAAATTCATTGAGACTTGTAAGTTCATTCAACAAAAATTATTAAATTGTACTGTTTTGTTTGAGTAGAATCAAAATATTATTAAAAAAGTTTTTTGTACATAAAGGTAAACCACTTAAAATTATTTCGTTATTCAATCATCGACAAAGTCTTCTGTTCAAAAGTCTTAACAATGTCACATTCTAGTAATTTATCGATTTCAAGTACTTCGAAAAAAATTGAAAATTGTCAAGTTGTTAACATCGATAGTATTGCTGCTGAATTTTTTTTAATTATCTGATCCAATATCAAGATAATTGTTTGATAAGATTTTTAGCTAACCAATGAGAAAAAAAACAACGAATATTCAAAATATATACCTGTATTTCTTTGGCTCTATAAGAGTTGGTCGGAAATCAACAATAATAAAAATAATTGCCTAAATATTTTCTGGATAATTAATAATTTTTAACACACAAAAAATACTTTTTAATAAATAGTTAATTGAACGCAATAATTCTTTACAACAAAAATTTCTATCCCAACCGAATTGTCAAAATCGAGCTTTCAAGAAAAAAAAATTATCAAAAATTTTTTTTCAACAAATTTTATGCTACATTCACGTGATAATTCAGTTATTTTATTAAAGATAAGTAAATACATTTTTCAGTTGCAGACATATTCGTTTGTAACCCAACAAAATAAGATAAATATTTAAAAAAACTGAAAGACAACTAAAACATTTTAGTGAATTGAACCAAGTTTAATAAAATGTAAAATGCAGCTGTTACGTTGAGAATCATGCAAATTTAAATTAAATACTATTCATCACTACATTTATTGTCATTTTAAAGAAAATTGTGAAAAATAATACTGTATGAAGTATTACATATTGATTTTTGTAAGCTACAAGTGCTGATAAGTGCAAAGTCCCGTAGATGATAATCAATGCTAATCGATATTACAGTGTAAAAAAAAATTAATTAAAGAGAATCTCCTCGGACCAATCTCGCATTAACGTAATCCTATTGGCAATATATTAAATAGTCAAAAAACGTCTTAAACGTTGCATTCATTTTTCAGATAAATAAAACCATGCGCATACCAAAGTGCACCTATTCATATGTATGTTACAAACAACCTTGTCTTGATTCGATTAAACTATACGATAAAACAAATTAATCTTCACTAGTACATTAGTACATTTAATTATCTAAACTTGAAAAATTTTCTGAATTACTCTTAAAGTCATGTTTATTAGGCTAGGCCCTAATCATGACTTTCATTGTCGCATCGGTAAATAAATTAGCTGCACTGTAAAACCTAGGCTGTGGCTCACTTGTGAATCCTAAATTACATATTATGTAATAAATAAATAGAAAATATTCATACTTGGAAATGCTTGCACGTGATATTTATATATAATATTCGCAGTCATGTAAAATACATAAAAAAAAATTGTGAATGGATATAGTTATTGAATTTGTATCTCCAACATATTCTAGATTGAATAAATATTTGGAAATGCGGTAAATCTGTTGAAAATTTTCAATTTTGTTTTAGGGTAAAAAAAGAATAATAAAAAATAAAATTTATGTGCCGTTAATCGAATGAAATGTCACTAAAACTATAGTTTACGATGAGTTAAAACTAATGTATCATATGCGCTTGTTAATCGTTATAATAATTAAATGATTTCTGTTGGAACGTGCAACGTTTGAATTCAGAAATATTCGTGTACAAAATAATTATGAGTAAAGCGTATGAAAATTCATTAAATAAATTTCTATAAGATTGTTAATAATATAAAAATGTTCATGTGTAATTTTTCATTGTTCGCAAAACGTTTATACGTAAAATACTATTTGTTAATAAAATATGCAACTGAGGAATATATTATAATCATAGTCTATAACATAATTGTGGATATCAATTAGATGACTGTACCAACGCTCTAAAATACAGAGATGGTATTAAAGTTGTAACATACCCAAGTATTGCACCTTATCATTACTTTCATCGTTAATAATTTACCGTTCATTAAGCACGAGTTGTTTTCATACAACTTATTGATTTGACCTTTTAGTACTGCTAATGTTAATTTATTGATTGAAAATATCTTTTTTTTTTAAGTTCAATTGTCCGAATGTATTGAATTGAATGGAAAAAGTTGCAAACAAATTTGTTTGGGTATTTTTTCAATACTTTCCACTCAATCTTGTTGTGAGCATACACAAAATATTACATCATATCAGCAACGTAAAAAATCGAAACAAAACAAAGATAGAAGGTGTATGACACGTGCATGTATAATAAAAGAGTATTTCAAGTGGAAAATATTCATGCATGGAACGGAAGATTGTATGAAACTGCAAAGTTTCTGAATGCATTGTAAGTGCGATCAATTGCTATGATTGAAATATTTTTCTGAACTTAGCAAAATTTTTTATTTATTGTGTCATGATTCATTCATGACCTTGTTTGTTTTGCAAGATTAACAATTTTTTCATACCTAACTCAAATGCAGTGCATTCATTTTCATGAATTTTTGTAAAAATTATGTAAAACTTATATCAAGTAAGTATCATCGAAATTGAAAGAATTGCAATTCAATTAAAATAGTATAATTAATGTACTTGCATGTCTTCACTAAAAGTATTTGGTGTAAACTTAATTGAAATAATTCTGAATGCCTATAAAAGAAGGTTGATGGTTATATTATAGATTTCACACCGTGAACAATGTATCGTTGATCATTCAAATTATACAAAGTATATAATGTCAAAGGTACAAAATAATTTTTGAAATATTGCATTATGTTAAAATCCCTGTAACGAATACCAATGAATTTTTTACTACAATTTTAAACATTCAAACAAGAACAACCAAAGGGGTAAAATTAAATAGATTACCTATAAAAAAAAATAAGATACAAAAATAATGTGTAGATTAATTGATACTTCTTCTTTCTTATAATAAAAATACTTATAGAAGCAATATCCATTCCAAAAATTTTCATTATAACATCGTCGAAAAAGTCGAAGTACCTAATCACCACTTAATCTATTTATAAATAAAAAAAAATTATTGTATTCATCGTAATTGATTTCATAAAGATGTATGTCATTATCTCAATGAAAAATAACGTGTATACGTTTCTGAAGCTAACACGATGTAAATATTCAGAAAAAACTTTAGCTATTATATTCAGTGTGGGCGTGGGAAATAGACCCAGGTTGGCCAATAAGTTATGTTTTAGCACATCATTCAGAATGTAAAAAAAAAATAGAAAATATTATACATCAAAAGTATGTTTGGAAATAAATCTTGAAGCAAATAAAAGTGTCTGTTGGTTTATTTTACCTCACTCAATTGCATCGTCTCCCAGTCGTTGCCTTTCAATGCAAAACTTTATCACAAACGAAAAAAATCATAAATTAATTTGCATTGATAAATTTAAATTTAAATAAACATAAAATCATTCATTTTTCGAACTATTACCTCGTCCAGAAAAATGCGCGAGCGTAAACGAGATTTACGTTATAAAAGTAACGCAGTCACGAAGATTTCGTTGAAGACTGATTGCCTCCCACGTGTCTTAATTCTCGTCCGCATGCACTTCACTCTGAAGAGGTGTCTTCATAGCGAGTAAATTTAGCATCAAATTCGACGAGCCAGCTTGTCCATTCGTATATTTGAAAAGCGCGCAATTATCACGTGTAAAGAAGATAATGATCGTTAACTGCAGACACGCGTTCAGTGCCTCGTTTAAATGATGAAACTGCTAAAATAATTTATGCCATCGATCAAAGAAATTGCGATTGAATCCTAAGTACTTGGCTGAATTAAATAACAACAATGACTCTTTTGATTCGTATCTCTAATACGATAAGACCCCGTTCAGAGCAACAAACCCACGCTCGAGATATTTTTTACCCGACAGAGTATAAATAATAAAAGCCGAACGAGTTAGCGTCATAGATCAATCGTAAGTTGAATTAGCCCGAAGATGTACTCTTCTGTACTGGCAGTCGTTCTGCTGTTGGCTGCGGCCGACAGCGCCAGGCTCATTCCACGCATCTACGGTGGAGACAGCGTCGAGATCGAGACATACCCGTACCAGGTGAGCGTACAGTGGAACAATCGCCACAACTGCGGAGGCTCCATCATCTCGCCGTACTGGATCCTGACGGCCGGTCACTGCGTCTTCGAGTACGAGCTAAAAGACACCAATGTCCGGGCCGGTACCTCGTTCGTCGAGCGAGGCGGCACCGTGCACCGAGCCGCCAAGATCATCAAGCACTCGCGATTCGGCATCAATTCCGGGGGCTCCGCCGAGGGCGACATCGCCCTGATCAAGCTCGCCGATCCCATCGTCTACGACGCGCAGCACCAACCGATCGAGATGTTCGAGCAGGACGAGGAGACCGTGGAGGACACGAAGGCCATCGTCTCGGGCTGGGGCCAGACTCCCACGACCTGGAAGCCGAGCCAGCTCCAGGCCGTCGCCGTGCCCATGATCTCCAAGCGCAAATGCAGCGATCTCTACTACAAGAGGTTCGGCCCGCTGCCGTCGGGCGAGATCTGCGCTCTGGTGCTCGGTGTCGGCGGCAAGGACGCCTGCGTCGGTGACTCCGGCGGCCCGCTGGCCGTCAACCAACGCCTCGCCGGTATCGTCTCCTGGGGCGAGGGCTGCGCCAGGCCCTACCAGCCCGGCGTATACACCGAGGTCGCTTTCTACCGCAACTGGATCGAGCAGGTCATCCGGGAAAATTGAATCTAGTTCGATTCAACGAGAGCAGTCGAGTTTTTTTACCTAGTGTACTTGATTTAGCTTAAGTTTTGTAACTTTTTTACACTTCATAATTTTTACAAAATGCGCGGCTGATTATGTACTTGACGTCGCTGTATGAAAATGAACGAAAAAAAATAAATAAAATTCATATTATTCACTCACAAATTTGTCCTCGTTCTCTTTTTGATCTTTTATTTTATTACCCACGGCGATTAGTGCAATTAATTTTACTGTTTATCAAACAGAACAAAAAAGATTGTACGTGATGATAACGCAGTTTCAAATATAAATCTTGATATCCTAATCGGCGTAAATATGAACTTTTGTTGATTTTCTCTAGATACCCCTTCTGAATTTGACAATAAAAAATTTTATAACGATTACGAATTTGGCTTAATATAACACGAACTTCCAAGAAAAAGATATAGGATTTGTCATGAGTAATCAATCACCGATTCAAAAAAACTGTCACTTCATACCAGAAATCAAAAAGTGACAATTTCAATTTTTTCATTATTTTGGTGTCTGTAAAAATATAAAATAACATTTCGTCGCATATCAAACTCTGCCTGAAAAATGTTGTTTATTTTAAATAAGAAATTCCTTAAAAGTAAAGATTTAGACTTCAGTTTATCAAAAATTTACTCTGACCATCGAACTTTGAAAACTCCGACATTTCAGATCTTTGAAAGCCCAATGATTTATTATCAGCGAAAAATCTCAAAATAATTTTTTTGATATTTATAGATTATTATTTATACCAAAAACATACTTCGCGCGCTCGCAACTGCTGCTTTCTGCACACGGCAAAATGCCCGCAATGACTCAATCAAGTGTCGCTCCCTCTCGGTTCTTGACTCAAGCTCAATGATAAAGCCGATAATTTCGCGCGCGCTGCACAGCAGAATCCGAACGTTTGTGTGAACTGTTGCCGCGCGCTAATATCGATGCAGACAGGTCGTTGCCAGTTTTGAATCAACATACTGCCGGCGTTTAGCGTCGATTGAATTACAACAAGCAATGCAAACATTCGTCTGATTGCGACGACTTTTTATTTTTTGCCAAAAAGTAAGAGCCTCGATAAATAAATTCATATCGGAATAATGAATGTGGAATTATTGTAATATTTGATGGAAAACATTTTTACAGCGATTTGTGTTCAGCAAGTGCCTTCGCCTTTGGTCATCTTTCCAATTAACATTAATCAACTTATTTAATCAGTAATTCAGCAAAATGTATTCGCAGTATAAAACTTTGGCCAGTCAAAAGCCCAGTCAATCAAAAATAAATGAGTTTGTCAAAAATGCTGATTTCAACGAGGTTAATTGCACAAATATTACCTGTCAATTTTTTAAAATATTACATTATTTATGTAAACATGTCTTTTTAGCTTTGTCAAATGGTTTTGAAAGTTCTTAATACATCAGAAGTTACCAAAGTACTCGATGACGTTCTCAGGGCGTTTGGCAAGTTAAATCAATTCCATGACAAACGATTAAAATTAATCATAGCTATTTTGGATGCACTCAAAAATATTAAAGCTCCTACAAAACATGTGGATAGTATTGTTAGCAGAATCGTTATTGATTTTTCTCAGTATGAACGGACTCATCTTGTCAAATTAATAGACTACTGCATTGAAAGAATCAGAAACAACGACGATGAATTTATGAGGTGATTTAAAGGACAATTTATGAATTATAAATAGCATTATAAATTTATTAATATTTTTAGTTGGAAAGATATCATTCCTTTAGTGCTAGAAAAGTTAGAAGAAGAAAAAACCATAAATCACAGAGGTACTGATGTAACTGGTAAAGAATATAAAAATATCATTATTCGTTCTTTGTGTGATATTGATTGGAATCCTAAAACTTTAAGTTCATTAGCTAAAATGTTTGTGTAAGTATAATCACACTTTAAGTTAAGACATTTTTAAATTTCACCTAATTTTTTTATATTTCAAGTGATATAATAACAGATGTTAAAGATAAAAGTAATTGTGAAATCGTCATGAGAGCATTAGCCAATAAAATGATGATTGTAGATCTTTCTGAATTACCTCCATTGGTTCATCAAATGTTAAAACTTGGATCAGAGCATAATATTACTTTACTCTATTCAAAATTAGCTAGATATTTTGCTAAAAATTATACTAATGCATGTAGAAGTGACGATAGTCAAGTGAATTCTGATTCAATTGGTATTTATTTTGTTATTAATAATTCTCTTCTTATTATTAAACATAATTATCAGATTTTTTTTTCTTAAAATGTTTCAGTTGATACTCAAGTATCTTTAGAAGAACTACAACAAACAGAAAGCACAGTATTATATCACATATATCAATCCGCTCTTGATAATACTAAAAGCTCATTGGACTATATTAAATGTTTAAAATCTGTTGTCAATGCACCAGAGTACATTTTGGATCCTTTTGTTATGTCAGTATTACTGTTATTATCAAGCTTGTTTGAAGATCAATCATTGCAAATTTTAAAACAAGCTTTACAAAGGCAGATTCAAGACGAAGAAAACCAAAGTCAAAGTGCATGGTTGAGAAGAGTATCATCAGATGATATGTCTGCTACAGAAACCATAAATCGAGTCATAGAGAACAGGTAAATAAGATACTAATACTGACTTCAAGAAAATGAATTATTTTTGGCCTAGCTATTAATCATTTATTTCTATTTTAGCAATAAAGATCGCCAATTAGTTTTAAAAGGTCTAGTGGACTTTGGATTTGTTTTACTTGGTATAGAGCGTAAATGTCCTACAGAAAAACATTTACCTTGGGAGTATGGGTCCCAAATTCTTCTGAAAATTTCTAGAAAGAGACAAGATGCTGGGGGTACTGTTCTTGAAATTCTTGTAGACAAAATTGTTAGAGCAGGCTCTAATGTTACTCAATATACTGGTAATTTTTTGAACCGTTTTTAATAGATTTTTCTTTGCTCAATACTCATTGTGTGATATTCATCTTGCAGATTGTCTAACTTACATGTGCCGAAAACTTACCATGACAGTGCTAGAACATCAAGTGTGGATTAATTCATTAATGGAACAGTTGTTGGTTATTCCAGGAAGTGCTGCATCATTAGTTTTACAAGCTATTTTACCGCTGATGCGGATTTCAGGTTCTATAAGAGACAACCTTATTATGGTCCTGCGTAAAGCTCTTTATCGAAAAGGGGTAGAAACTCGTCAAATGGCTGTATTAGGATTTTTGCAACTTTTGAAGAATTTAAAACTTAGCAGTTTGACAGCTTTAAGTCAATCAGAATCTTTATCATCATCTAATGTTGCATCTTCATCATCATTTTTCACTCAAGTAAAAAGTTTCCTTCATATTTCTTATTAAATTAATTCATACTTTAACAAAATATATTTTTTCTGTAGGCAACTTTAGAAAGACCCTCACAAAAATCCAATCCTTGGCAAAATACTTGTTTGTGCAGAGAGATTTTGGCTATTTTGAGTAAATGTTTTACACATGAATTAGAAGTGCGTTCCCATTTATATCAAGGTATACTTCCGGAAATTTTATCATTTAAATCTTTCAAATTTTCAAATTTATAACTAAAGAAAATTATGTTTTCAGAACTCTACAATGGAATAATTAGAAATCCAGAGCTTACGGAATATATAGTAGAATTTTTGTTGGAGCACTTTTACAAATATTTTGAAAATGATGAAGAAGTCTTACCGCCATTGTGGTTTGAAAAATGTAGTTCAATACAAGGAATCGATGTAGTAATACATGAGCCAATAGCAGAACTTATTTTTGCATTACAAAAAATTTACTTGAAAGTAGCTTCAAAAGAGTCGATGCGCATCGATAAGCTCGCTGCGGTCCTAGAATCACTCTGCAAACGTATGACTCAAACGGATATAGAACATTTTGGCATTGTAATTATGACCTGATTAAATTTTATTTTTGCATCTTGAATTATATAATTTTGTAATTGAATATTTTAGGATGAGGATACAGATCTTTCGGACAATACGCCAAAAACTCAACTGAAAATAATTAATGTTAAGCTTGCTATCTCAGTTTATGAATCGTTATTAACATTCCGCATTGCATCATGGTCGGAAAATAGTGAAAATATCTGTGGAAGCATCATTTCGTTGTTCAAAGGTTACTCTAGATTAGTAGAATTCTTCAAAAAACTTGGAAAATCTAAAAAAGGTGGAAAAGGTAAAAAAGATAAAGAAAAGGATGCTAATGACACAACTATTAAAAAAGGCGGTAAAGGAGGAGGCAGTCATATTAATGCAAAATTGCCAAATACTGTGATGGATTTAGATGCTATATCGAAATGTATAAATATATTGTACAAGTTAGTAACACAAAATGATTGTTCATCAACACTTGAGTGAAAAATATATTAAAATTGTTTTATTATTTTTAACAGAGTCGAAAATCCCTTGTTGCCGGCAAATAACACGGAGGCTTTGAGAGGACGAATAGAGTTTCATCAATACATTTTACAATCGAGCATGCACTTGTTTCAGCACGTCAAAACTTTGAAAGATCATAATTTAACGAAATTTTTAGAAACGAATAAACACAATTTCTTCAACATTGGAGCGTAAGTATATTGATCAAAATGTATCATTTTTAAAATTGGATTGTAATTTTTGTTTGTTTTAGAATATTATTCAAGAATTTCATTATGGAATTAAAGACAATTAGTTCATTTAATGAACAGCTAGCTGGTTTAGGATTAGAGTGCTTCAAAGAATGCTGCGAAATTATGTGCACTACATATTCGTCTGAATTACCGGCTTTTCTTGAAGCAATTAGTGAGTATTTATATCCAATAATGTTTCAATTTATATTATATCTTTATTAAATTTTGTATCGTAATTTTAGCTGGAGAAAAACGTTCCAATGGTCTTTCATTTCAGTTGCAAAGTTTAATATCACCTTTGAAAGATATTTTTGTAGCGAATATTGATCCAGAATTACCCGAAGAAGTAGTAGCACAAAAAGTACCTCTTCACGTAATAGAAATCATATCAAAGCTGGTGAAAAAAATTCCATTTGACGATGTTAAATGTGAAAAGGTATTCTTTGTTTTAAAGCGCTTAGTTGAAAAAATCGTTCAGGTTGAGCGTAAAGACATGAAAGTTAATTTTTTCTATATAATTTTACAGGTGTTTGATTGGTTAAATGAAATAGCTGAAAACTCTGATCACCTCGACGTTCAAGTTTCGGCGATCATCATACAGCTGATATTATTAATAGAAGAACGAAGCATAGATTATGGTGAAACAATACAAGACATTTGTGTCGAATTTTGTGCTATACTTGGAAAAACGGACAAAGTAATTTTTTACTCTTTAGAATTTATATTAAAATGAAAGCTCTTCTTATAACAATTTTATTTAAAATATTTAGAGTGATGTAACGTCCTCAAGAAAATATCAAATTATCAATGAAGCTACCATTGCCATTGCATATTTAGCTGTCAATAAAATACTAGCAACAAAATTACAAAATGTTATTTGGCTTTTGGGAAGATTAAATGCAGAATATGTTGCCATGACTAGTCTCGAAGCTGATGACGAATCTAGTGAGTAAAGACTTTACTACAAAGATTGATAAATTACCTGAATGTAATACTTAATTCTTGAAATTATTTATAGATCGAAAAAAAATCAAGGATAAGGAGCAGATATTATGTCGCCAGTTTTCTTTTATCCTCAGCACATTTGAATTATTAGCTAATGTAAAAATTATGCCTGGCCAACTTTCTGATGCACTATTCAAGAATTTGAAGAATGTTTACAACTTTGCTTGCTCTTTAGCTAAATATTTCAAGAAAAAGTCTACTGCAACGAACCCTGCATTCCAATCTGTAAAGTAAGGCATTTCAATTTGAAATATTTTCAAGTTTAGCATAGACTAAATTTTCTTGTCTGATAGATTCATTCCAGTGATTCAAGGAGCAGGAAGTGCTTTAAAACAAGCAATACATGAGTTGATTTTACACATCGAGGTAAATTAAAATATCTTAACTTTAAAAATTTGAATCGTTACCTATATAAAATAATTGAAAATTTTTAGACATCTCAAAATACTGGAAAATCGACCGATACCAATGTTCAGCGCAACAAAATATTGAAAGAAGTTATGGTGATCCCTGGAGTAGTACAAGCGATTGATACTTTTGACAAAGAGATCATACTACTTGCTAAGAAAACTAATGTGAGTAAAAGGAGTAGTAAGTCATAGCATAAAATACGGAAAATATTAATTCAAAATATTTATATTGTTTATAGGTTGACTTGATGAAATACACGAAATATGATGCAATTCGAGATTTCAGAATTAAAAATTCCCAAGTATTGGAAAACTTGGCAAACATGAATGTCAGTCAATTGGTAAATAAAAATCTAATCCAGAGTCATGATAATTCAAATATATATTATATTTCATATTCTCTGTTGAAAAATTGTTACAGAATAATACTGTGGAATCTAATGCCGACGCTTCGATCGCTGCTCCTGATACTTCTAATCAAAGTAGCGAAGAAAGTGAATCTAATAGCGATAGCGACGAAGGCCCTGCAACTAAGAGAAAACGACGTAGTTAGGTGTAGGTTAATTTTCAAAAAAAAAAAAAAAAAAAGGAAAAAAAATATTCTGTCGACAGAACCGTAATACTCAGTTATTTGTAAATTTATGTTACGTACTGTACTAAGAGTTTATCATTTTTTTACTTTGAAAAAAAATTTTTATAATTAAAAGATCTAAGCGTCCCATTTTCAGAATGATTATTCCGATCAAATAGATCCAATCATATCCGCTGGAAACAAAAAAACAGTTAATTTAGAAAAACAGTTTGAAAAATATTTTTCAAATAAGTAGTGCAAGTAAAATGGAAAGATTATACATTTCTTTAACAAACAAACAGAGCTCGAAAAAAGCTCGTGCGTCTAGATGTCTCCGTAAGAATGATCCGGATGTTACGAATCGCCATCTGGTTAAAAGTAGATTTTCAGTCTTATATTTATATTAAATTGCCTCGGACTTTTCTTATGAAATAATTCAAAGTTCGCTCTCGTCCGCATAGGTATCGGAGGAAGAGCAGAAAAAAGCGCGATACAACTTTTGCGGATTCGTAAGCGCCCCTGGAACGTCTGGTTGCGTGCACGGTGCGCGCGAGCGCGCAAGCTCGCTGTTTATCTTTAATAATTTTTTGCTCTTGTCGCACGAGACGATGCAGAAAGAGAGAACAAGAGAGCATCATCATCGTCGCCTCGCACAGACGGCCCGTCGCCTTAGCTGTTGCTGCTACCGCGCTACACTCTCACGGCGGTGTGCATTTATTTATAAGCACACACGCGAGCGAAAAGCAGGCAGCTACTTTGAAGAAAGAAAACACGCCGAGCCGTTGCCGCCGTGTATACGCGTCTGCGTCTGCAATTTCTGTACCGTGTACTTGGAGCATAAAATACTATGTATTTGTGTGTGCAGCCACACGTATGGAACACACGCGTGCGCCGGTCGTGTATACCTATACACATTACCTGCGCGCATGCGAGAAAGTAGTGCAGTATCAGCCTTAGCCAGAGCAAACTGGTCCGCGTCGGTTATTTGCCCCGCAGGATTTATATTTGCACGCGAAGCCAAGACGTCGACGATCGTATACACGCGTTCTTCTGTGTGTATATTGTATACCTATAACGTGAAACGTGTGGGTATACATACGTGCCGCGCTGCCTATATGGCTCGCATACACTTGGTCGTTCGCTCTTTGGACTCTCGACGTCTCGTTTTTATGTATTATTATTATGCCTCACCTCGAGGCCTCAGCTGTCAGCCGCGACGAACGAGCGTATTTTTCTCGCTGCGAATTTTTGTCATTTTCTTTGGCTATGCCTTTCATCGGGCCGTTCGTCGAACGGACAGTCATCTGAAAAAATACGAAAAATCTCAGTTTTCCCCCATCGAGCCTTAAAAGAGAGACTCGCTCGAACAAGCTCGTATTCTTCGATCTGTTAAACTTTGAAACATAGTTGAACTCAATTTGAAGCTCGCGCAAAAGCTCTCAATTTCCTCGATAATTTTTGCGCATTAGGCTAAACAAAAGCCCAGGCAGCTCGATGCACGCACAGGTACAATGTATAAGGGTAGAAGTACGTAATCAGGTCGAGGTTCGAGCTGGTCTATTAACCGTACGGACTGACGTACAATTGGAGTATCAGGGAAAGTAAAAGGGAATCGTTAATGTAGAGATATTATCCTCTTCTCTCTCTCTCTCTCACTGTCGAAATGAGCTTAATGTACTTCAGCTATTATGCATCATGTATGAATTGAAGTTTGAGCTTCTATACGAGGCAGCTCCTAACGAGGCAAACACGCGCCCAATGCGAGGCATAATTTCGTTTTCTTATTCAAGCTTTAAGCTTGTTTTCTTCTTGCCAATTACCAGTTATTTAGGAGCAATTTTTTACTCGAATTACAATGGCGTAAGAACGAGTGTCGTGTACGAGCCCAATAGGCGGTAAATGCGAGTCGTTGAACGTAGCTCCATTACAATGAACTATACGAGCCAATGACTAGTAAAAAAAATTATTGATTTTCTTTTTTTTTTTTCATCGCATTCAGGTAAAAAGAAGTCGAAGGAATTTCGTTCATATGCAGCTCCGCGTGATCTCCTTCGCCGCCGCGAACGCAAAAAAGCTCTCGCGCGTCGCAAGTTCGAGTATGCGCGATTTTTAAATAGACGCGTGCGTTAAGCCGAGCACGCTGCTGCTCTCGTGCGCCGCGCAACTGTGTATATATAATAAATAAAAGCTCGCTCTTCTTCGCAGGCGCGTTCGATGAAAGAGAAAGAGCAAACAAAAAAGAGTCGGTTATAGAATACAACACATGCACACGCATACAGTCACACGCTCACACACGAGCAGAGGCAGCAGCTCTCCGCACGATCGGATCGCACTTTGTGCTCGCACAGGCACATATAGCGTAATAATACGGCCCCGCCGTCGGCTCAGTCAAAATCTGCTGCGGCCTGCGAAAGCATAGGCCACGATTATAATAGTAGCAGCAGCAGCGCGCGCAACCGCCAATCGACGCAGCAGTATAGATATACAATTTAAATATATATACATATAATAGTACTACTGCTACAACTACTACTACGATAGTCGACATTGCGCGTGAAACTTGCGCCGTATATTCGCGAGATACGTATAGTATACGCGCGTTCATCCTACACAGACGTAAATATACAGCCACGCGCACACACAGATGCGAAACTCGCGTCGACGTCGTCGCTGGCTCGCTCGCTCGCGCTGCTGTGCGACCGCATACCGGCGGCCTGTCTGCAGTCGTCGCGCCGCGGCCGTGGCCGAGCCTCACACACATATATAATCAACTTCTTATACCTCTCTTATACATACAATATATAGATATATAACACATGTGTATATTACATTCACACGCATACATATACCTATGTATAATATAATATACTCCTTTATTATAAATATACGTGGGATAAGTAATAAGTGATAGTTGACAACGTCTCTCGCGTGCTCATTGTCCTTCGTCGGCCACGTTTTTATCTATTCCGCTTAGATATTACAATCGGCAACAAATCAAAATTGTCCAATCTTCGTCGCTTGGCCACATGTGTGTACATATGCGCGCCTATGTATTGTGAGTGGGCACCGACATACATATAGGAACTGTGTATCGTGTCTCTGTGTACGTCTGTGTAAAGCTCGTCGTCGTGTGCAGTGTGTCTCTTTAAACGAAAGTAAACAACAAAGCTAAAAAATACCGCACAACGTTGCTGTGCCGCGCGTCGTCACGGTGCAGCCTTACATGCACTCCGAAGACTCCCTGCGCGTGTTTTTAACTCAAAAGTGCGACCGCATCGGGTCTACGTGTGCGTGATCTTATAGTGCCCGTATTATATACGTACGCCGATCATCAAAATACCAACGACAATAATACGTATATTATATCGCGAGTGTTTCCTCCCTGTGTCTGTGTTTATCTGAAGCAACGCTCTCGAAATTTGCAGCGGTGTACGTGCGTGCATTACAGTCTACTCGTCGGTAGATACTCGTTTCCCAGTTTCAGCAGCGGAGTGCCGAGAGAGTACGGAGCAGTGTGCGAAAGAGTAGTAGTGTAGTGTCGGTGCTGCGTGTGTGGTGTGTGATAATATTATGGCGCAGCATGCGCGCTTGCCGGTAGTCACACTACCCTGGTACTGCAGCTGCAGCCTTTTCATCATCGTCGTCTCCGTTGTTTCTACTGTCACGGCATCCTCAATAGCACTGCACAAGAATGAAGCAATTTTGAAACAAGCCCGATTGATTAGTGACCAATCATTGGAGCTCACTTTCAATCAGCCATCCACTATCGATGATCAATTGCTCACTTGGAGCTACAGCGATGATTGTAATGGTGCTGCTTCCATGAAAAGACTCGAAACTGTAGATAATGAAAAAACAACTATTTTGTATCAATTGCACACTCCTGTTGACAAAGTGGAAAAATTTGTGCTTTGCATCGATGGCAAACCAAGCAATATTCCTATACAAATTAACAAGTTGTGAGTATAGTTCTTGTGAAACATTTAAATGCATAAAGTTTATTTTGCAATAATACACTAAAACTGTTCAAGCTTAAAGTTCATTGCATTTTTAATGCATATAATAATAATGTTAATTAATACCATAAGAAATTTTAAATATTTCTTGAAACATTACTAGATATTAATACTTTATCTATCTCTCACATAATAATTTGTTCTAACTATATCGGAGTTATTCATAGAAAGTCTTATTTTCCTTGTAAATAAATATAATCAATTTGTTTACTCATCAAATGAAATGCAGTCTGCACTCACAATATTCATTTAGGGTGAGAGTTTTGTAAAATTTTTCAATCTTACCTATTAAAACATGATTAACCAACACTTTATAAAATGAATCAAATGTTAATGACTAAATCTAAGCTTGCACCGTATTGATTTTCTGATAAATTAAAATTTGAACAGAATAGGTTTAGTTAAGTTTTAAAACTAATCATTCGCTCCCTTAAAATCAATCATCATAAAATTTGAAACACTAAACATTGAAAAAGAAGATTGCATCTATGTGACGTCACAAAGAGAATTTATTCTCAAACCGATTGCTTATTAAAACTACCTTCAATTACTGGAGTATCAATGATAAGACAAGAATGCGTAAACCAAGATATCATTGGCTTTTCTGCTTTACCGAGCAATTGTCACAAAAAAGAGAAAGCAAATCTTTTAAGCTATTTTAATTTCTTCTAAGAATGCATCATAGGTCAAAACATTGCTCATCGCAATTGTTTTTTCAAAGTCTTTTCAAGAATAAATGACTGTCATCAATGATTGTTTATTGTATAATGACATGTATATAATGTCTGCTGTAATCAGAGCAAATTTCATTATTAAGGTGCATTCAACTTGATGCATATGAATCTCTTGTGTCTTTACTGGTATTAAATAATAGTATACATGCAATAAGCCTTCATTAAATAATAACATGTTGAACTTTACATACATGTGTCTTGAATTACTCAAATCAAGAAGTGCAGAAATAAATCGCAATTTTTTTTTTACAATTTTAATCATGATCACCTATTTCACTTAAAATTTCCTATCAATCATAAAATTCGAAAATACAATCGAAATTTCTGACGTATTTCAAGGCAGAAGTAATTTGAGATTCACTTTCATGAAACACCGAAACTGCCAAAGTGAATGTGCCCAACAACGCCTTGTTTATACTGATTATAATCTCACGAGTAGGGGTTTTTTTTATTCAAGTTCGTACGAAAATTCGCACTCTTGAGGTTTATCGCGTCTCGAAGCCACATTTTGAAGCACCATCGGCTCAGATAAGACGATAGTAATCGCGTTATGTAGGTGCGGAACAAAAAGAACGTATAGCATCGTTGACCGGATTTCCATTTTAAAATTCATACCCGATGACGATATGGGGGGGAGCCGCGCGTGTCACCCACATTTCAAGCCCATAATGTCCATTACCAATTGACGTACACCGTGAAAGAGATAAAAAAAATCGTCTTACAAACGATTTGCGATGAAAATAACCGCTCATCCCATTTTTGTAAAATCGCTATAATGCACGTGACACTGTAGCAGACGACGATGACGTCTGAGCGGCAGCGCGTCGACGACGATTTGCACACCGGCTTATATTATTAGCCCGCTAAAATTTTACATGAAAATGCATTTTTATAGTAGCGACTTAAATATTGTACCCTCGAGACCCTTTAGAATCTTATTATGCAATTTTTTCACCTACGACCCCGGGTTTAAAATAAATACGGTAAATGAAAATGTTTCTTAACAATATTTTGCGAATGAAGCAAGATATGAGAAAAATAGTGTTACCATTTGATTCCTCGTGAAATGTTACATCGAAAAATTCTATCCACTTTTCGAGTGTCCAGGTAAAATTTCAACAATATTGAAAAAACTAAAAAAATTCTGCTCGACAGTGGTGGGGGTCGATGGCACGGAGCTCGACAGCCGTATAAAGTGCTGGAGGGGAGGCGATAAATATAGATATACTTACTTGTTCACTTCGCGCGTGGCTCGTGTCAAAGGCGCTAAGAATATTTTAGTTCATTTAATATTGACGACACTTTTGCAGTGACAGTTGAAAATGTTACGATGCACATTGATGTAAGATTTTACGAAAAATCGATCGGTGTAGTTTTCCGCCCTTATCTCGCTTCGTTCGCGAGATATGAGCGAAAAACACCTTTTATTTGTCGTTTTCACCCTCAACCGGGGGTCACGGGTCAAAAATAATTGCATATCTAGATTCCTGAGAGCTGAAACTACGAAGACACAAAGTTTCATCGAATTCCACGGGGTTGCAGTTTCACATAAGACTTCAGTGAAGTATTATTTCACGAGGCGGGCGCGCGCGCGATAAGTTTCGGCAGTGTATAAATTTATAAATTCCGAAAATAGAGGATCATGCGTGAGCTGCGTGTGGCCTACATCTTTATAGGACCGTGGCGCTTTGTGTAACATAGCTACGCGTCATTGACCATCTTTTTTTCTTTTTGCGTGTATTAAACTACGTCGTTTTCGCGTGTGTCTACTGTGTGTATGTACATCGTCGACGAGTCCGCAATTGCTCACGCGGCGAAAGACACTAAGCCGCGGTGTTGTGTCTGCTCGAGTGAATCGAGTCGATAACTAAAAACGTCAATGTATTATGGATTTGAGAATAGTATAGATAGTCAATAAGAGCCATTCGTCATATATATAGGTCGACTGTGGAATGTATTATATATTGTTGTAGCGTATAAGAGGGCCCGAGCCGCTGTCGTCGTCGTCGATTCGTGACACAACTGTGCAAATAACGTAATATAGCCCGAGCATACAAGAGAGATCAACGTAACACACATCCGAAGTATGAGTTCACCATGGAAACGACGAACACGAGTATAGGTTGTATCCATTCCTTGCGTGCGATATATAATACGTACTACATAAAATCGTCGAAAATTCAAGCGAGCTACCCGCGGAAGGCGATGTCGTGTCAATTACGGTCTCTTTTAGCGTGTTTCGTAAGGGCGATAAGCATTGGGAATTAATTCGACGTCAACCCTTATGGAGCTAGGTGCGCTGTATAATAAAGATTGGGCAAGGTGCGCGCGGCACAGGGGCACTGGTCTCGCAATGCCCCCGACGTATACAACGCGCGATAAGGCAAAGTCGCCCGCTCTCATACGAGACCTTGCTCTAAATTTTCCCTAGGAAGAAAGAAAGTCGTGCAAAGTCTGCACAGGGTGTGATGTGTATATTATACCTATAAATATATATATGTACGCCGTGCGTCGTAGTAGTAGCAGTATAGCAGTTGGATATACCTATATCGCGCACGTGCCGCGTCTGATAGGAAGAGGGTGCCGTTCGTCCTTGTCTGGCAGAAAATCCAGTACAGCTCGGGCAGCATTGAGGTATTGTATACGCTCCGGGAGTTACCGGTTTCGATTGTTTAGAAGCTTTTATTTCAGCTTATACGTGTACAGCTGCGAGAGAGGGAGGGAGAGAATGGGAGAAAACTTTTTTTCATTGCTTCGCGCTTAAAAAAGTTACCTAATGACAGCCGGATGAAAGATTCAGTCGCGTAGCGTGAGGCACGATCGACAGAAAAAAAAAGTATCGCATCTCTCCCAGAGAAAAGTTGTACAAATTGATCGGCGAACGTGTCTAGCGGAGGAAAAAAGCGCGAAATTTTTACCTAAAGAGACCAGCTGATTATATTGGCTATAATCGTGTAAGGTCAATATTGATTCTTTTAAAAATAATGCGAAAAGTCAACACACTCGTGCCGTCAATTTATTACGGGCCAAAAACTAAGCGTTTAAATTGATCGAAAAGCTTGAAATTTATCAAAGCAAATAAGCCTGCATCCAAATCGGACACGCAAAATCACGTGATACTAAATACACTGGGGATTATTCGCGCGACACGAGGTGCACATATCTCACTCGATCAAATGTGGAGCAGCTGCAAAACTTTTGTCTCCAAGGGAAGCACGATCGCTACCGCGAGTCATGATTACGATTTACGATGTAACGAAAAATTGAATCACGCATTTCAGAGCTGAAAATGTGTTCGCTGGAAATAATCAGAACTCCATTTGTGTAGTGGGTGTACGAACTGTTCGTGTGATTAGCTGACTCGTAAAATTTCATCGATTATAAATTCCGAGTATGCAATTCTTTGCTTTTTAGCTTCTATTACAGACGATGTTCTTTCACGTATAATACCCAGTTGGCCTTTACGTTATCTACTGGACAGCGATGAGCTAATTTCGCCTCTCAGTTATTTTTTCTTTTTTAACGTTTTCTTTCTCGTATTTCTTTTTCTTCAAAAAAATTTTCGTCGATTGTTATTCGAGCTACGCCGCGCGTTGAGATAAAATTTATTTTTAAACGTGATCAATAGTCTTTGCTGTAGATGTGTGGTGATGGAAATTAATTTTTGTCTCGAGCCCATTGTAAGCGAAACGATTACGTTCAAGGTCGAGTCTCACATTACCATTTCTTTAATTCAATGCTTTTGATGATTTTTAGACGTCGGTAAACCCAATCTCTAAATTGTAACTTGTCCATTTTTTGTGAAATACATGATCTATATTTAATAAAAGTACTAAAGAAGCTTTATGTACTTCCTTCATAAAGTCGCTCGATTTATCAAGGATTATTTTGTTCGCTCTCGAGTGTGTGGCTGATGAAAAAATTGACTCGGGCACCGGGAACATCATCTATCATCGTTATCGCGCACGCGACGTGGTGCACGTGTGTCACGAAAAGAGTATATTATGTAAAATTGAAATCACACATTGCGCCGGAAAGTTCACGAGTTCAACACTCGGAATATATTTGTAATACTTCATTTCGCAGCGACGAGCGCCGAATTGGCCTCGTGCAAAGAGCCACATGTAAAGCGACAACTTTCGTAAGTTTGCTCGCTGCTTTTTGTACGATTGCTCGAAAAATGATGACAAGTGAGGCAATGCAGAACACGAGGGAGAAAAAAGAAGATAGATATAATACGTGTATATGTAACTGGAGACGCGTCGAGATCGATTGCACCTAAATGCGTAAAGCAATAGTTTTTAATGGCGAGCGATCCACTTTATTTTAAACTAGCGATATTCCTCACTTGTTCGCACTGGCTCAGTTGATAAAAATTTTAAAACTTCACATTGAATTTTTGTAAAAAAAAACTTTCTAAACCTTATTTTTTAATTATTTACACAGTATTTAATAAATTCATGTATTAAAAAAATTATTAATTATAAAAATTTTATGTGGGTTTTTAAATAACAAGGACTTCGTGAATGACAAAATTAAAAAGTAACAACTACGAAGAACGTAAATAGGGCATTTATCCCCGACGGACAAAAAATCGTTCAAGAAAAAGTAAAAGTAGTTACTAAAACCATCATATTAAATTGTAAAATGTAATAAAATGTAAAAAAATGTAAAATTACTAGCAATTTCGGATAGTCAATGCATTAAAAAAGGCAGCATAAAATCACATTTTTTATACTTTTTTACACTTTTTTACATTTTCTTCAATACGCTATCCGCGTGTGATCGCATCGACCGCAGCAAGTGATTTTTGTGAAAAAAATGTATTGATTTTTATGAATAAATTAAGACAAATTATGATGGATATGTATGTAAATCAAATTCAGTCATCTCAGTACTTCTCAGTACATCTATAATGATGTTAAAAGGCTTTCTGCTGCATTAGAGTGATTTCGCTTTTTTAACAAAAATCATTTGCTGCGGTCAATTCGATCACACGTGGGCTTGACTGGAATTTTAAACTCATAAGTGAAAGTTGTAATATTTAAAATTATTATTACAGAATTTTATCTTTTTTCACACTTTTTTACTTTTTCCATGTAACTTTAATGAGCTTGAATTCGTAGGGTTTTCACCTCTCTAATTATCGGTAAACAAATGTAATAAACTGTAATAAAAAGTAAAAAAGCGTAAAAAAACGTATCACATATCCGAAATCGTTAGTAATCATACATTTTTTTACACTTTTTTACTTTTTATTACAGTTCACAACATTATTATGCACTTTATTTGAAAAAAAATTTCCGCTGGGGATCGACTGCTTTCAGTTACATCTCTCGAAGATATAAGAATTTTTCGAAGATGGCTATTTAATGTATAAAATGTGAAGTATCCTCACCAGTTACATAAAGTACTGGATAGGAACAGAGCACTGTAATATGAGTTGAGACGAATCTCCGACGAATAATTGGCGTATGGCATAGTTTCAAGTTATACCAGTAGATGTCACTTTCAAACCCGCAAGTGAAAAACTTGAATTTTCTGTATAAGTTGAGGAGATTTCATATTACTTTAATTTCCTTTTTCATACGGTACTATAATAATTATGGGTCTTGAGGAAAAACGTCGACTTTCAATAGATTTATCCAAAGCCCGTCGACACGTTGACTTGTAAAAAGTGACTCATACACTCGGCTCTCGAGTATAATAACCCTGAACCTTGTTATTCACTACATGGATACTCGAGTCGGAGAGTTTCTAGCTGCGTGTTATGTGTGTGCGCAGCCGAAGAAGCCTACTAAATCTCTTTTTTCCCGCCGCACGCGTTCGGATAAGTCAACTGCTGGGCGATACTTTTGCGAATACTAGCTAAAACGCTTCGAACTGCGGCCAGTAGACTATCAAAAAAGACGCTCAAGCGTCCGTCAAGTGAAACGATGTATTTCAGCAAATTTTCGTTGATAACAGCTCGCCTTCCTTGTTGCATGTGCTTTACGATCGATAAAATTCACTTGGAAAACTGGATTTCTTCATCGCTTACGTATCAAAAGTCTGCGGATGACAATGCATCAGCTGATATATAGTATAGAAATACATGACTCATTGAAAGTGAAGAAATAGTTGCTTTTTTTCAATCAATTATCTAATATCAGTACAACAGCTCACATGCACGATGCTCTGTATGCGTACGCTGAAAATGTAACGAAGAACGAATCACGCTAAATCCAATTAAAGCCTTGATTGTACCGCAAATGTAATATCGGCTCCTGTATGGGGATATGGGCGAGATATATACATGCATATAAACTGTACACGATGTGCCCAGCGATGTATTTATACATGCTTTGCGGTACGCGACCATGAAGTTGTTGTAGTGGCACACTCGCACACATATCTCTCTCCGAGAGGGTGGCCTTTCAAGACCTTGACCCACTTGCTATCATCTCTTACGCTCGCCGCTTCCGTTTGCCACTGCAGATATTCGCGATACATATACGTATAAATACAGCCCACGTGTGCTCTTGCCCAGCTCCAGAGGATAAGGACACTTTTTTTAGTCAGCTTCCCCAGCTATTTGGCAAGGGTTAAGGTAGAGGTTAACTGAAGGTGTCTCTGCCTCGAAGGTCAAGATGCGCGAGGCAGGGTTTGTCGACCTCCTCTCCTTCTCGGCTGTCTGTATGTGTGTGTGTGCACTTGCTCCGCAGAGAGTTGCACGAGTGCCACGGACAGAACTCGCTCGCATTGTTTTTTTTTGTTGCAACTTATGCGGCTACCGCTACTGGCTTGAAAACAAGATTTATCGATTTTATTCTTGCGTCAATTGGCGCGTTACAGTTGCAAAAACTATCAAGCTCTCACAGCATATCATACACACAGAGTCAGTTTCAAAAAAATGTATATAGTTATTGTACGACTGTCTCGTGCTAATTAACTTCGTTATCACTCTTGCGTGGATAATTCTTTTACTAATTGTTCAATTAATTAATACTCAATATAGAAGAAGTAGCACTTGCATGCGTAATCATTTGTAAAAATCTTCAACGCGATTTACGCGTATTAATAATCAAATCTCGATAAAAATGTTATCTCTTTATAAATTAATTAATGTATGTAAAATCTTGAATCCGACGAATGAGACTACTCGATTTAATTTGTAATAAGCACGAAAACATTTGTTCATTAATGTAAAAATTTCACCTCTCTCGTTGATATTTATCTATTCGATCATCAATGAATGTAATCGCGCCTCGTCTATATAATACTCTCTTTCTCTGATTCGAGCGTCTTTATCATTGCGCATTTATTGTCTCGGAGCTATATTTATATATATTGTCTTGCATACATGCACATATTAGGCTCAATGTCAAGCTTAATGAAAAAAGTCTCGAGACGTGCTTTTTCATTCATTAAAGCGACGATTGTGATATGTCTATTGAAAATATAAAGCAATTCAACCGAGATGTTGTATTGATGTGTCGCGTATTTTTTATTGCCTCTCACGATATTTATCTAGAGAGTGAAGCTGCGAAAAAAAAGTTCAATCAAGTTAAGCGCTTTGCGAAAAGAACTTAAAATTGTTACTTTTTTTGTAAATAATTGTGAATTGGGTGCTCGAGGAGAAAAAAGAAAGAAAAAAAGGAGCGGATAACCGTGACGTAAAAGCACTCGAGAAAATGTATTATTGAGAAGAAAAAGAATACCACCGAGAAATTACTGAACTACTTTTCTCATTCATAAAAACGTATATACTTGTGTGTACACGAATTTTCTTTTTCTTCTCCGTGCAAAAGGACGAAAATGAGATCTTCTATTTTGATTACAACGATGAAAATAAGCAACGACGTCCTAAATTTAAAACATATAATTAAACTATATTTGCAGGAAATGTCGGAGACATTTCTCTATATGTGTCTTTCATTTCCTTTACGAGATTTAATTATAATTTTAATTGCGAAGTTTGATTTATTTTTGGCATCTTATATTTTAACTGGTTAAACCGACAGCGAGTGACGTAGGTGCCCACTTACCGAGTGAAGATCTTTTAATAGATTCATTCATTGCATTTAAATGGAAAATCTAATCTTGACGTTGATGCCTTATACAATTTTTTTTAAAATATGCATACAAAATTTTTTTTTATGAAACCTTGCATTTTCCTCGAAAAAAATGTTTATCTACAAATTATCAAAATGTGAAAAATGTTTGAATCAGGTTGTTTATTTTACGAACTCACCGAAAAATTTCAATTTTACCCTTTACATTAAAAATATTTACATTGAGTTTCAAGTATTTTTATTTTGTACACGCTTTTCGATGGATTGCCAAGTTACGAAGCAAAATGCGAATTAAAATTATAAATTCAAGTAAAATATATAAAAACTATATAATTTTTATCTTATCCAATCATGCTCTGCATAAGCCTCTTTTTTATATTAGATTATCATTTCCATTCAACAATGATTTTAATTCCTTTTTCTGATGTATATTTTTCTGACATATCCGATGCTAAATGAAAATATGTTATTTTTTATGACTTACATTTAATTTGAAAGAGATCGAACAAATATTAAAAATTAAAATGATAGAAAGAGATGTTAAAATACGGAAAATCTAATTATAGATTTTTTCCGTGCGTACACTAATAACATTATGTTCTATTTACTCGTGTTTTTTTCCTTAATGGTATTTTTTAAAATTACCTTTCCAAGAGATATTTGCTTCCAAGCAACCGTGTACGTTAAGAGCACACGTGGATTTGTATACATTGAAAATAAAGGCTCGTAACGAGTTTGACCAACTAATCGGATTTAATAGAAGTTGAACCTTGAATAATGGCTTAGAGTGCAGATGCGTGTATACTGGTATATGCAGAGCCGTATACATAATACTCGCTCGTCCGCGTGTTTACAGTCATTAGCTTAATTGTTGTGCAATTTTGTGACATTACTGACACGTCGCAAATAGAGACGCGCTTTTATACGGCGAATCTTCCTGTTTCGCTTGAAAAAGACATGGAAAAAGAAAAATCACGAACGCAGTTGTGAAAAGTGTAATTAACGCGACGGCATCGTCTCGGTCTGTTTCAGGCAAGAGGAGGTGGCCGATGCTCCACGCTCGCGCCGAGAGTACTCGGGCCCAGCCGACAAGCTACGTATCGAGGGCTTAGTCATCGAGCAGGCGGAAAAATTGCACCAGGAGGATGACGGCACGATTAAAATACTCGCCGAGCGCAAGGCCACCATCAGATTGTTCGGGGTTGGCCTGACCAGTCGCACCGTCGTCGCTTTCACGGAGCAGCCCGGAAAATTCGGCGACGTTTGCGACAAGATCAAGTCGCAGGAATTTCCAGTGAGATATATTTTCTTGCTTCTTTTTATCGAATCTTTTTTGAAATACACAGCATCGCAAATTATTCTGACATTTTTCGCATTTACGTATCATCGTTATGCATTGCATGTGCAGCCGCAAGCTCCCGCCGAAAAAAAGTACCGAAATCGATATACACTCGCATTTGAAATTCATATAAATACACTTGGAAGCGGCAAAATTTGGCACGGTTCGTTTGCGTTTTCAGCCGCATCGAACCGCCTAAAACCGCGCCGCGTACTTAGATAGTGACCTCTGGCTGATTCATCGCTGCATCGCGATGCGTTTACATGTTTACGCAAAAATGCGCAAGAAAATAATTTCTCTCCTTCGTTCTGTTTGCAGGTGCGAGATTTGGTGGGCGACATCACCGCCGCGGTAGATATCATCTTACCGAAGGGTCAGCCTTTTTACATCTGCGCTAAGCAAGCTAGTGATGAGTCTTCGCCGGAGTACCCCTCCCTGTATCACCATCAGGGCTCGGAAAAATACAAGATGGTTCGTTTATTTTTTTCATTAATTTATATCAATCTGACAGCTGAGATTTTATACTACTGACATTGATTTTAATTTTTACAGATTCACACCTACACGAGTATGCTACCATTATGGCTGTGCATATGCATCATCTGCACTTGTCTGTCATTTTCCGCGCTGTTCTCGGGTCTGAATCTGGGACTCATGGCTATCGACAGGACCGAGCTAAAGATTCTTTGCAACACCGGTACAGAGAAAGTAAAATCGATTTATCAACATAGGTTTTATCCAACTAGGGGCATCTATCAGTTGTGCCATTAAATGGATCTATCCGTAAATTAAGACTTGATTCAAAGCGACGGAAGCTAATCGAATTTCCTTTCCATTTCCAGGAAAAACGCTACGCTCGAACCATCCAACCCGTCAGAAATCACGGCAATTACTTGCTCTGCTCGATCCTCTTTTCCAACGTCTTGGTCAATTCGATTTTCACCATCATTCTCGAGGAGCTGACCTCGGGCTTCGTCGCAGTCTCGTGCTCGACCCTGGCCATCGTCATAATCGGCGAGATTTCACCGCAGGCCATCTGCAGCAGGCACGGCCTGTGCGTGGGCGCGAAAACCATCTACATCACCAAGCTCACGATGCTCATCACCTTCCCTCTCAGCTATCCTATAAGCAAACTGCTGGACTTTTTGCTTGGTGAAGAAATCGGCAACGTTTACAACAGAGAAAGACTCAAGGAACTTGTCAAGGTGAGCCAGCTAATTCCTCGATATAGAAGCAAATTTAAGTTCAGACGTACTTGCGATGACGCAGTTTAATTTATTGTGTATATGGCCGATTCTCTGTGAAATCGAATGTCCAAAAAATCTTTTTCTCTTGCTTTGGAAAACTTGTAAAATATTGATAAGTTCTCAGGCACTTCTTTAAGAAAGTCACTCAAGACTCAGCTAGGGATTTAAAAAAAAAATTAAATGCTATCTGCGGGACACTGAAAACGGGTGATAGGAGGGCCATAGAATAAAATAAGTTTTTCTTCTCAAAAGAAAAAAAATTTTTAGCTACTCAATTACGCAGAGAATCGGTCATATATTCGATAACGAACCGCGTGATTCGTACAATTTTCATATTAATTAATGTTTTATGCTCGATAAAAGCCGCGCTCGATAAACTCGAAAGTCTCGCAAGACTTTACGCAAACGAAGAAAGTCAGTGCTATATATCTTTCACTCGCGTTTCATGTGGTTTTCGGCGGTTTCATGCAGTTTTCCGCAGTGCGAGGCATTGCTTTATTCTACGCGAATAATCTCGCTTTATCCCGAGTGCAACGTGCGCAATTCGCAGATAAAACCTCTTTCGCAACCGTGACGATAATCTATTCCCCCGCATTTGCAAAATTGAAATTAGTTGATTTTAATATGTTTTTTTTCTCATTAATTTCAGGTTACTACTGGATACAACGATCTCGAAAAGGATGAAGTCAACATCATCGCCGGTGCTTTAGAATTACGAAAGAAAACCGTTGCAGACGTTATGACTCGTATCGACGATGTCTACATGCTAAACTACAATCGTACACTCGATTTCGAGACAGTGTCCGAGATTATGTCTTCAGGTATGTGTTAATTGATTGACCAGAAGTCCTACCCCTTCAACTTTTGATCGCCATTTCATGTAATTTGCTAATTTTCTATTCTCAGGATTCTCTCGAATACCGGTGTACGAAGGTGCTCGTACCAATATCATCACTATGCTCTACATCAAAGATTTGGCTTTTGTCGACCCCGACGACAATATGCCGCTAAAAACACTCTGTCAGTTTTATCAAAACCCCTGCAATTTTGTCTTCGAGGACGTTACGCTCGACGTCATGTTCAAACAATTCAAGGAGGGACACAAGGGTCACATGGCTTTCGTGCAACGCGTCAACAGCGAAGGCGAGGGCGATCCGTTTTACGAAGTCATTGGTCTTGTTACCCTCGAAGATGTTATCGAGGAGCTCATTCAGGCTGAAATTATCGACGAAACGGATGTTTTCAGTCAGTACTTTTTTTTTATAATTACCAATCTTTTGATCTCTTCAGAATTTCTAATTTTCCGCATTTTTATTTGTAGCTGACAACAGAAGTAAACGTAAGCGCCAAGCCCGGTCAAAGGTCCCAGACTTCACGATATTCGCTGAAAAGAAAGAAAATCAACGTATTCACATCTCGCCTCAGTTGGCTCTGGCCATGTATCAATATTTGTCGACGAGCGTCGACGCTTTCAAAGCCGATAACATTTCAGAGGTCATTCTACATCGTCTTCTGAAGCAGGATATAATTTTCCACATCAAAGTGAAATCACGAGAGAAAGCTCGCAACGATCCTGCAGCCATTATTTATCAACAAGGCAAACCAGTTGATTATTTCGTTCTCATATTGGAGGGTAGAGTCGAAGTTACTGTGGGAAGAGAGAATCTTGTATTCGAGAGTGGCCCGTTCACATTTTTCGGAAGTCAAGCTCTGACTATGAATGTTGGCCTTGGTAAGGGTAATGCAATCTATAAATTTTTTTTTCGATTTCCTCAAATATTTTTCTCCTTGACTAATTTATTCGGCCGATCGCAGCTCAAGCAGAATCACCGACGAGCTCGAATCCGCAGAATTTGGGAAGCGTCCAGTCCGTGAATTTAGACGCGATGTTGCGCCACCACTTCGTGCCAGACTACACGGTGCGCGCGGTAACCGAGGTGTTTTACGTGCGAGTCAAACGATCCCTGTACTTGACGGCGAAACGAGCCACGCTGCTCGAGCGCACGCACAAGGACATGAATCAAGATCAGTTCGACGACGAGGTGGAAAAATTGCTGCACTCGCTGGACGACGACGATCGAAGCGCTCCCGAGTCGCCGATTCTGCCGAAAGACAAGGAATTGCCGGAATTGCGCAAGGACAGCGGCGCTCCGCAAGCTTCGCCGATGCGGCATTCGTCGCTGCCGGTCGTTGCCTTGCCCGTGAGCGCAAGTCCAAACACCAATTCGAAATTCATCTCGAAAAATAATCCAAATGGACAGTTGAAAAATTCACCAGCCAAGGTTGTTATTTTGACATCGTTTATTTTACTAAACCACTATTTTCACATGAACGATCGTATGCTAAATACTTTTCTTGTTATTACTTAGAAATCCCAATCACCGGGCTCGCCAACAACTCCAATAACTCCTCATTTAAAACTTGATTTGGACGCTGAAATAATGGCTCGACAGACGGAGGCTGCACGTCTTCTCACTTCAGAGAAGCCTAGCAAAAAATCCAGCGGAAACGAAGACGAGGAGAGGACGATTCTATTGAATAAGCAGGACAATTCTTAACATTTAGCCAATGGCCGACAAGAATCGTCGGCACCGAGCGTTTCAGTAAATGATCAGCAGCAGCAACAGTGCGACGATCAAAGTCACGAAACGTCTGCGTGACAAGATCTATAGAAATCCATGGTGTTATAAATGGCCTCGATACTTAAAGATTAAGAAAATCAGCGTCAAGTACTATGCATTGGTTTATGTACTATTTAAAGAACGAGGATCAATTATGTCTTTATGTAAAACGAGACTTTGTACGATATAATGCGTTACAGCGTGTTTCGGCACTGATTTCGAATGGTTTGATACGGTCGCACTATGTGAGAGCTTAAAATCGGCATTTTTTAGTGAAATGCTTTACCGACACATGACATTTTATTTATACAAAGTTATAGTTGTTACTTGTACGTGCGTAACTTATACACATAGATATAAATAGGTATACTACGCGATCGTTGATGGTTTTTATGTATGAAAATAGTAAATGCGCAAGCGTAATCGAAATTGAAAATTAAAAATATATGTTATCATATAATTCGTTGGCTCTTTGTAATGTTTTAAAACACAAATCGAATGGACACGCGATCAGTATATGAGTATTTTTTTAATGTTAACACTATTGTTCTATTGTTAGTGCTTGTAAAACAAATATGATGCGTTTTAGCGTCTGTGTTTTTTGTATTGTTGATGATGAACAATTTATCTGATGATGCTGAGTGTCGGTAAAACTAATTCACTGTTAGTATGGAAGATGAAGAATTGATTGCTGTGATATCATATTTTTATAAAAGTTTGCTGTATTTTTTTTCTTTTTAATTCTTATAAGTCAGAAAATCATATAACTATGTTTGTCATTTATATTCACAGAAACTAGAAATGTAGTTATAGAATGAATGTTTTCACCCGATCAGTCATATGCAATAATGGAAATTAGAGTTCCAAAAAATTCAATATTCGTTTTTACGATTTTTATGTGATACGATGTACAAAAATTAAAAGTTCTATCTGTCATCAAGCCATTCGAAAATCTCTGCCATTAAAACACCACTAACAAATTCAAATGCAATAGTTACATTGTCTTGTACGTATTGTATTTAAATGTGTAAATATTTAGGATATTGAGATTACTTCCACTCATAAATCGAATACGTTTCAATGCCAAGTCTATGTGGAAAAATAGATATAGACTGATTTGTTTACCTATTCGTTCATGAACGTTTATTTGACACTTTGTAACTATAACTATAGTTATTCAGAAACTCCTCTTCACCATTTCTGCAATGAGCTTACTTAAGTAGCAAAGAATTTTTTTCATCAACCTTATGGGGTTCTTTTTCTCTACTTCACGACAATTTGTCCATATTTTTTATATCACTTTTGAGGAGTTACTTTATTGTAAAAAGTACGAATTATTCAATTGTAATTTATAAAGTTTATACAATTTTTGCAGTTTATTACTGTAAATATATCAGTAAATTTGTTTTTTATAATTTTATCGGGTTTCAATATGTTGTAATTATGTCTTAAGTTAATTAAATCATGGAAAGCTCGAGTCTTTCGTGTCGATACGAATTATACTTTTCAGTGGAAGTAAGATGCAGTGGTCTTTTGTAAAAAAGATTTTTCAACTAATTGTTATAATCAAAGCATTTTTAAATGTCTTCGTCGTAAACGCAAAATATTATTTACAATAATATATATTATTTATATAATAGTAACTAACAACGAAAAACTAAAATTAGGCTTACACATCTCGTGTCACTATTAATCGTTATCGTGAATTCGGAGTATACTTTTCGTAAAAGACAAGTAATGTTTCACATTTGACAGTTTGAATGTGTTAACTCGAGAAGAGCAAAGACAAACTTTTCGAATTTGTTAATATCCTACGGTTATTTTCAAAAAGAAAAAAATCAATCGAACAAATTGTACGTGTTTATGTTTTCATTACTCATAATAAGTAATGACATGTGCTAGTCTGTTACTTTGTGAATGTTTTCGAGTATTTTTCATTTCCACTTATTTATAAACTATGTGTGGTATATTAGAAAACTACTTATAATTTTGTCAAATGTCCATGCCTTTTTCGCATAAAAATTACTCGTTTTTACATTTCGTGCCTTAATCGAGAGAAGTCATTCATTAAAAACATAACTACCAAAACCAAATAATAATATAGTATTAAGGTAATAATCGAATTTTCAAATACATAGGAAAAATAATTTTATACAGATTTCATAGATCTGCACGTCTAAATACTTGAACTTTTTATCTTTAATGTTAGATGATTCGGATAGAAGTTTTTATGACGTATAAATCAAAAATTGTCGATATCGAGTTTTAAACTTGAATTGGTATAAAATGAACTAATCAAAGTTTTGCGAATTTCTCTTATTTCTCTTATTAAAATATAAAAGTACTTAGAAGTGCTGATCTTGTCCTCTAAATTCAATTGCATAAAATGTATAACCGTGAAGTAAAAAAGGAAACTATTTTTACATGTATTCTACAAAATGAACAAAAATATGTAGCATTTAGATACTTATATATCTATTACATTATAATAATGTTTTTTTTCTGCGCGAACATATCTCAGATTAGGGTTAATAATTGACGTAGCAATAATTTGACGTACAATTTGATCCTTTTCAAATTTTTGCCTATAAAGTATTTTTTACAAAATAAGTTCATTAGCCTAAACATTGAATTGCACTACACAGTAAGTAAACTCAGATTTATCGAATGTCAGACAAGATAATTGTTCATAAAAAGTTACATGTAAAGCTCTGTCAAACGGTGTATAAAAAGAAATCTGTTTTATCTCTCAATTTATATTTGGTGCGTGAATGATTAAAACTGTCTTTTTATGTTTTTGTTGAAGTGAAAAATCATGCTTAAAAGGTGCTACAATAAGAAAAACAAATGTTTATTAACTGCCATGTAACGATCGTTTAGACGCATGTTATATTGTTGTTACTATTATGATTATATTTTTCAAATGTTACTTAAATTGTCTATTGTATTATTCGACGTAATAAAGCTGATGAGGTGAAATTAAATTTTTTTTCCTTTGCAGTTAAATACTTATAATGTGAGTTGATTGTATGTAAAAAATATAATATTCCACTATGTTCTCGACGACTTTGTTTTCTTTCGACTGTTCAATTACCTCCTTTTTAAAAAACAAGAGACAGATTTGCATCTCTCTCAATTCAATTAGTCAGTCAATTTATTCAGTTACTTTTTCGCTCGGCTCTGTATTTAATTTTTGCGCCAAGCAAAAGCAAACAAAGGGAATAAAATGATTTGTACTCAGGCGAGATTATTCAAATTGAATCTCTCTCTCTCTCTCTTGCGCAGCAAATTCTCGAATTCTCTGCCTCTTGAACCGATAAGCCCTTTTCTGCAGAAAAGCTTTCACGAAACTTCCTAACAAAAGCTTCCCAGTGTCAATAAGGGGAAAGGATCCCTTAGTTTTCGGAGTTGCAGCGGCTCGATCTGCACTATAATATGTGCGTGCAGTGCGCTGTGCGGCTCGGCACGAGAATATTCGGCGTTTTGCGCGCGGGGCCACTCGCGTGGGATGATCGCCTTTGATAAGTAGCGACTCGACACATCCCTCGTTAAAAAAATGGCATAAATGAGCTAGCGAGCGAATTTCAACTTGCATAATTACTCTCGCTCAATTGGTCTCGGAGCTTGCAGTATTATATGCGTCGGCAAACTTGAATATAATTGTCGAAACGCACGAATAGCGCGTACGCACAAGTCGGTATAATGACTTCTCGAGCCCCATTAATCAGAAGACGCTCAAAAAAAGAAAAGAAAAGAAAAGAATTAGAGGAAACCGTTGGTCCCGTAAGCGTTTTTTCTGAAGTACATTTATAATTGAGATAATTTCATCTTCGTTGTCTTCCTAATCCTCTTAGAGCCGGTGAGCGAGTGAGTGAGCGGAGCGAGAGAGCAGTAGGTGTTAATGGACATATACGATAAGAAGAAGCGCAGCTGATGCATTTATAAAAAGGCAAAGAAGGAGAAAAGTTGCGATCGCAGATAAGCAAGAGCTAAGTATATCTGTAGCAAATAGTCGCAGCGAAGAGAGAGAGGCCGTGGCGTTAAAGTAAAAGCTAAGGTGTGCAGCCGTGAAGATACGGAATTAATCGGATATAAGCCGGGCGTATAAAATGACGCGGCCCGAAATCTAAGATTTAATGAAACGATGATTCCGGAGTTCTTTCGAGGGCCTTGGATGATTTTTAATCGCGGTCGAATTCTCTTGAATCGCTTGAATTAATACCGAACGGAAAATCCTGTATATTTAATATTTTCCGAGTTTCACGTAAGCGAGTGTCTCGACGGAAACAACTTGTGCGATATCGGCAATGAGTCGACAGGGTGGATCGTCGTCGTTATCCCTCTCGCTGTCGACCAATCAATAATTAATAAATCTGTGAATTACGATATTATAACGTATCGGCAACATCCGATGATCCAGCACGAGGGCTCGAGTCCACGTACGACAAGCGTGTAAGCTATATGGAGAATCAGCAGCAGCCCAGCAAGGCGCGTATATAGTACCATTGTTATTATTCCAAAGCTATACCTATATGTAGACGGCTGAACGTCCAACGCCATGCGCGCGCGCCAAAGTTGCGCCTCTCTCGCGACGCTCAAATCCTCTCCAATGTATATATACATATATATGTAGTTTGTAGGTACTGTGTGCAGCAGCAGCAGCAGCAGCAGCGGCCGCAGCCGAGCAGAGCAACAGCATCAGCGGCCCGCAGTCCGTATAGTAGTATCGTGTCAGAGTTCGCGCGCGACGTCGACGACGGACGACGCGTCTCTCTCTCTCCTCGTTGCGTCCGATCGCCCGAAAGTATATATCATTGTCACTTGTCAGCCGCGAGATTATACAGAGAGAGAGAGAGCGAGTCGGTGTGCAGAGCCATTCGAGCTTGCAAGTGCAATATACCTCCGGGCGCGCAAGTGTCTATATGTGTCTGTGTGTATATAACGCTTGTCGTCGCCACTTTCGAGTGATGTACGGTTGACACTTTTTGGCTTTTTAATTGTTTTGCTTTTTTCCTTTCGTTCGTTCTCTCTCGCGCTCTCGGCTCTGAGAGATTCTATAATTGGTGATGGAACAGGTGCACAGTGTTTAACAATATTGTGAACGGAATATTCATAAAATAATTACAATTATTCCCAAAGGTACGTACTCGTTGACGCTCGATTCGAAAGTACACAATAAATACGAATCATCCAATTCAATGTTTTGCTCGTGCGAGCGACTTTTTCGCGTTGAAATTTCGTCCGGTATTTTGGATCCAGCGAGACGCAACAATTTTGCCTGCTCATATTTATATGTGCGTGCACGGATCGCTGTTGCTTGCCACGTGCAGCAGAAAGAAGAATACAGCATTGCAAGCTCTTCTCTTATTTTTTTTTTTTATCGCACACAGGTATAATAATACCGAGCGCAGCTTTGATATTCGGGAGAAAAAGAAGAAAAATATGGTAAAAAATAAAACTGCACAGACGAGGCTTTTACTCTATATATTTTTCTTCCAGCCCGCGATTTTTCTCTCTCTCTCTCTTTATCTCTAGCTGTTAGACTTTCTATTTCTCTGCGCAAATCTTTATTGTTCGCTCGCTCCGACTCCTTTCTACTTTTTTATTACTTTTTTTTTTTTGTAATTTTAAAGATTTCAGAAAATTTCGCTACGCTCTTTGCTTTTGATATTTACTTTTTGTCTCGCCAAAACAAATTAATGACGAAAACGCTTCTCTTTTAACTTTAATCCGCGCGAGTATTTTGAACCTATAGAGAGGCGTCTATGCGCGCAATAAGCAAAGCCGCGCGCGTTCCAGAGAAGAAGCAGATACTAAAAAAAAATCTCGAATAGATTCTCTGAAAAACTGCCCCGAAGCCTATGCTAAATGATTGGTAGTGTATACGGTAGCCGGAAGATACTCCTAAAACGCATAAATCAACGCAAAGATTGCACGCAGCGTCGAGATTTTACACGTTTGCGCGATAATACCTGTATAACGGCAGCTCGTATACAAGATCGCCCCCCGAGCTGCTGCTGCGTACGTGATTCGAACGAGAAATTCGAGCCTTCGCGAGTCCTGTTTCTTTCTCTCTCTCTCTCTCTCTTTTTTTCTATTCTTTCTTTTTTTATTTAACATTATAAACTTGTCGTTGTCGTCGTCGTCGATACAATATCGTCGGCTATCGGGACGGCAATATTGATTATATTATATTCTTAGAACGGTGGGCTCTTTCCCCGCAGCGTCGCGTATACACACACATCCTGCTGCACGCACACGCTGTATATTATTATTATATCAAACGCACGCTCTTCTTTACACGGGATCACGCGCGCGAACTATCGCCTCGGAAAAACTAGTTCTTTTTTTCTATTCCTCCTCTTCCTCCGCCTCTCGCGCAGATATAATAAAAAAAAAAAAAGCACGCGTGTTGAGGCGCTAGAAAAAAAAAGATATTTTAAAAGTCGGCGAACGCATTTATGTACGTACATAGACGAGCGCGCGGCAAGATTGCACGAGGCAGCTCGAATTCTCTGCGCGATGCTCCGATGCGTGCGGTCCATTGTGTATCTGTACGCCGTATACAACGGAGTTTGTATACGTGTATATACGTTATAAAATAAAAACGCGTCGTACGTTAATTGTCCCCGATGATCGGGCTGATGCTGCCTGCCTGCCTGCACATAGGCCGACTATATAGTGTGCGCGCGCGAAACGAATGACACGCAAAAGAGAGCGACGGCCGATCCAGCGTAATCAAACAATGAACGAAGAGAACTCGAATGACATCGTATAGAGAGAGAGAGAGAGGAGCCCGTGCTCAAAGCTTCGCTGCCACTGCTTTGTTTATGTAACGTACGATGACATGTGTGTAAATTGCTTTATATATACCGACAAATATGTGTGTGCTGTGTACGCAGCTCTCTCAAAAGCGGCTGTACACAGCGGCTGGCTGTGTTATGGGAAAAAAGTTATAGCGAGTTTTTTTATCGACTCGACGACGACTACAACGACGCGCGCGTGACTGAATTATCCGAGCTTTTGTTTACGAGCTGCCTATTTGTTTCGCTGATAATTGCAGTTGGCGCGCATACATAAAAAGTATACTTGTCAGGACGAATTTTACGAACTTTTAACAAGGCCGACGAAAAAGCAGGACGAAAATCGAGTCGAAAGTCACTTTAATTGATGAATATAGAAGCGTCGAGTTTAAGATAATGTCAGTAGTTGCGTCGAAGTTAACTTGGCTGCTGAGAGCTTATCGATACGAGTCAAATTTTCCGGCAAACCACCTTAACTCTCTCTCTCTCTCTCTCTCACGCGGGCGGTGCAACTCGACGCCAACGTATAATGCACGACAAACCTCAGGATGTATACGCGCTCATCAGCATCATCATCATCATCATCACCATTGCTCCTGTACAATATAACGCGAGAGAACACACACACAGATACAGAGCAGTAAGCGTAGGTGTGTATTGGAGCTGAAGGCAACGGGTGGGTGCGTAGCCGCAGAAGCAGCAGCTCGACACCCCAGGCAAACTTCTCCAGCTCGCTCTATCTCTCTCTCTCTATCTATATATCTCTGTGTAGCTCTGTAGCTGCTGCTGCTGCTCTCAGCGAGTTCTTGCCTCACCGCCGCCCGCGTACCTCGTGTGCACACGCATACATGTTTAATATCCGCACGCCTAGACGAGTTAACTCGTTCGTATAAGCTGCAGCAGCCCAAGTGCTGACTCTCGCGCGCGCATGCATGCAACAACACACTCGATCTATTAAACTTTCGTTTGTTTATCCTTTTCCGTAACAACAACAGCAGCAGTAGCAGCAGCAGCGATCGATCGCCTCGAGACCTTACAGCCAAGCTCTATTTTATTTTCTTTTTTTACTCAAATTGCACTTTCGAGATAACGCTTAAAGCTCGATTCTCGTTGCATTGCATATCAAGCGCAGATCGCCAGTGCCGACTGCCACGCTCGGACGGACATTCGCGCGCGCGAAACGAGAATATAGAGCCTGTAGTAAGTACGGTGCGTGCAGTGCAGTGGCCATGCCGCGCACCGCAAGAGCTTGCGGCCTGCACTCGCGCGCGCCTCGTGCACGCGTCGTCGAGAAAAGCAAGCCGAGCGCGAGCAACAGTTTGTAATTGCTTTTCTTGCAGCAGCCGACGAGGCCGAGGACGACGACGACGAGCGAGTTTATAATTGCGGTTTTTCAGGATCCGCGCAGAGTTACTCTCTTGAGCTGTGCATCTATGTACATATAACTATATATAAACGCCAATTTCGTCGATTATCGTTCTTTTGTCGAAAACTCGGAGCTGACGTGGGCGCATTTAGCCGCTCGCCTAGCTTGCCCCCCCGCAAAAATCCCGCTCGATCATCGTCGCCGCCGCCGCCGCTGCTTCCTTCCGTTAGCGGCCCCGATATTTTACGATAATTTCTCTCGACTTGCTGCCTTTTTCGTCAATCTCGTGCAACAATTTAATCATTCGCGCGCGACGCCTCCTTCGCTTGCCAATATACGGGCCGCTCGTCTCGAATGAATTTCACGCCCGCGCCTTTTGAAATTGATAAAAAAAAAAGCTCGCTCTCGAGTATACACGTACAAATTGAGAGCGAGAGAGATGGAGAGAGGGGGCGAGAAATCTATCTCGTCGTCCTACCTCGTCGCTTAGTAGCATAAGAAATTGTTTTCTGCAAGCTTGCTCGAAATGATCTAGGCAATCTAGCCCTATATAGCTCGAGTTCTCTCGCTCGCTCGCTCGCTTGACGCAACTTTCACGTGTCTCGATGATGTACACGTGCATCGTGACTCCTTTTCCGCCTACAACAACGAGCCAAGCAAACGGTATCCTACTTACTCCGTGCCTCTCTTGCTCCTCCCAGTTTCCTCCCCTGCTTCGTACACCCCCGTACCCCCGAATCTCGAGACGAGCTCGTCGTCGTCGTCTCCTCGAAAAATTTTCCGCGCTCGCAAAAGTTCCGTATTTGTATGAAGTGTAATCAAAACTTTCTATAAAATATCGATCTAATGGGAGGAGGGCTGTTTGTCTCGAATAAACATCTGTATACATCATCGACTGTAACTGTAGCGCGGTGTATACCTGCAAGTGCTGCGCGTTATGTATTATATGCACGCCCAGGCCTTTCCTTGCCAGAGCTCGAGATATATACATATTATCTAAGAGATGATTAATATTGCGAGTTTGCGCGGCACGAGCGCAGATCGACTTTGATCTCGAAATCTCTTGCCTCCCTCGACGTTTTTCTTCTTTTTCTTCTTCTGTGTTTTCTTCTTTTTTTTTTTTTTTATAAACACAAGTATAAATTCACAATAACAGCGTAATTTCGCGGTGTGCTGCATTCGAATGACGGATGAAGAAAAATGACTCGTCGCAACAGCGCAGCATCGAACGAACGAGACGTCTTTTTTATAACTTTGATACGTTTATATGTGAGCTGTATACGTGACTCGTTTATACATGTATATCTATATGCACGCCAAGAAGTAATCAAAAAGACTTTCGTACTTTTTCAAGATTTTTCATCTACGTATTTTTATAAAATAAGAGAAAAAAATGCAGAGCTGCACGAGCAGCGTGTTAATTTTTTTTCTCCTAATTTGTAGAAATATATTTGTCTGCGTATGAGTGGAACGAAATCGTCATTGTTAGCAGCCGAAAACTCTCAGTAAGTTAGTGCAAGTATGTATGTATGTGTTGCAGCGCTGAAAAGTGAGCCGCGAGCTCGTTATTATATTTCGGTACAATAAATTAATCCTAATTAAAAAAGTTTTCGTACCAGACGTGCTGCTGCTTCTGCTCTGGATCTCCAGCAGCTGATATAATATCATCATCATCATTCGTACAGTCGTAGGTACACATATAATAATGAAGTTCGGTGCACTCGTCGATCCGATGAAAAATCAACGGACCCTGCGTAATGATTTGCACGGAGCGCCATTTCTCTACGATAAACAAAGTATCGCATCGCCGTGATAATGCCGAAAGAGTATTTCGAGTCACGAGTTGGAGCTCGATTTTTGAGCTTCGCTGCGCAGTTTTCGTGTTTACCCGGCGCGTAAAACAAAAAAAAAAAGGGAGCGTCGCGCGATTCGTGTACGCACATTCAAAATCGAAAAGATATTTTGCATTT